TATATATACATAAATATATCAAAAATACAAAAAATCAAAATTTGAAAAATAGAATTTAATTGAGGGATGAAAAATAAACCGTCATTTCAGTTTATTTCCCTACCCGAAAAAACCCTAGAGGCGATTTCGACTCTCTGCTCCTCCTTCTCCGACGATGACGAAGAATCTACAGATCCTCGGTGTTTTAGTTTGTCTCCTATCCTCCGTCGTTCTTACCAATGCTTTCGTCATCTCCGGTAAGTCGTTTTTTTTTGTTTTCATTTATATTTCGTTATTTTTTTTGCGGTCTTTGCCTCCGTCACTGTTCTCCGTCTTTGCGGCTGTCAGCGACATCATACAGGCGGGAACGGACCTACGGCGGTGAGGAAATCTGTAACCCTATTTTTTTGGGTGTTGCAGAAAACAGGTATTCGGCGGTGGTTCCGACGGTGGATTGTCGAAGGGTTACAGGTGAGTTTTTATAAACTTAGTCGATATATCTATTTTTGTTAAGTGATGGGTTTGGTAGACTTGTTTTTGCAGTATATGATATATATTATATTTGATAGATTTGTATCGTTGTATATGATAGACTTGTATCACATATGGGATTTTTGAGTTTTGCTATTCGGATAGGTTCGTTTCTAATTTTTGAGGTTCGTTGATATAAATGAATGATAGAGTTGTTTCATGTTTCATGTATGTTAAAACCCAATGGTAGATTTGTTTCATGTTTGTTAAAACCGAATGGTAGAGTTGTTTTATTTTGGTTTTAAGTTGCGTTGTTTACTTTAATTATATGGTAGAGTTGTTTGTGATATATATTGTATGTATGATAGATTTGTTGGTGTATATGATAGACTTGTTTGGTAATGTATCATAGACTTTTTTAAAAATCTCTTATTTTCCACAGATGGCTTCTTCCAGTGATTCAAATGATTATCCACCAAGAATGTTTCAGCCAAGAAAGTCACCTTTGCAGGAGCATAGCTTCAATTATGGCGCCCACCTGACTGAATTCAGGAAGTTGAAGGAGGCTATTGGCGATGATGTGTACTTGTATCGTTGTATATGATAGACTTGTATCACATATGGGATTTTTGAGTTTTGCTATTCGGATAGGTTTAGATATGGTAGACTTGTATCGTTGTATATGATAGACTTGTATTGTTGTATATGATAGACTTGTATCACTTATGAGATTTTTGAGTTTTGCTATTCACACATAGCTGAATTGAATATCAAAACGGCGCTGATCTGAACCCAGATCTTCGTAGACGACTTGTCGAAAATCTCCATACTCGATTTCCCGATCAACAGTTACAACTCGACATCCTTTGCTCTTATCAACCAAAAATAAATATCGAGTTTTAGCGAATTCTCACTTCCCACATACTAAAAAAATCTCGACCATGCATGAAGAAGACATGATAGAGGATGAAGTACAAAGAAAAAAAACAGCAAAAGAGGCAAAGAGAGGATGGCGGCGTCTACCCTAGTATAGTTGGATGCGGTGATTGGGACAACAAATTCGATAATAACTGCTGGACAAAGTTGTCATTTCACATTATTAAGTCTACCCTTCTGTAAAGTATATATCTCTATCAATTTTCAATATGTCTATCAACATTTCAATAAGTCTACCAACATCGACGTTCCCAAAAAAAGGATATGTCTATTATAAGGGTGAAATATATCTATTTTTGGCCAATATGTCTATCGATATCAAATATATCTATTACATACTCAAATATATCTATCACACATCTAAAACCTCTTACTGAATTTTAAGTGTACCTAACTGAAAATAAGTCTACTTCTCCATAATAAGTCTACTATTTTTAAGTAAGTCTACCATGAATAAAACAACACTATCATAACGAAAAAAATAACATTGTAGTAGATATAATATCTTCTCATATAAGTCTATCTTCAGGATAAACAAGTCTATCATTAGAGGTAATAAGTCTACCAATTCTGGTCAATAGAACTTCGAAAAGTCAACTTAGACTCACTAAATCTACCAACACGAAAATAAATTTACTTTGAAGACAAACAAGTCTATCAACAATCAAATATGTCTATCAACAAAATTAACTCTACCAAACGATTAAAATAAGTCTATCAACATAAGTCTACCAACATTTAACAAGTCTACCAACATCGGGAAAAATCTATCATCGAAAAATTATGTCTACCAATTTTTACATAAATCTATCAGAAAATTTAAATTTATTATAAAGGATGGTAGACTTAATTCTCGACGCGTAATTTGTACTGCTGACGTGGAAAAAAAAAGTAATGGCATTTTCGTAAATATGTTTTTTGTCATCAAAGCGTCTCAGGGGTAAAATGAGGTTTTTTAAAAAAGCAATGTTGTTCTGGTTATTTCGAGAATGTTAGATTGTTTTGCTAATTTTAGCTAACATTTAGGTTACGATAACAATCCTCTCTAACTCATAATGAAACATATCAGACATATCTCCAGAGAATAAGGTACTTACGTCTTACATCGCATCTAGTACACACGTGAACAGTCTTAACTCTTAACACCAAATCTTTTTGATACCAGGCCGGTATCTAAATCCAGTATAGGGGATTCCTTTATAAATATCATCTTAAGCACCGGTTACAAGGGATACCTAAAGTTTATTGTTGCCAAAGATACGAATTTTTTTTTTTTTTGGTTTTTATTCTAGTAATGAAGTATTTTAAAATGTATACTTCATGATTTCTTTATGATATAGTTTTGCAGGCGGCATGAACAGACAAGATGTTTGTTCATAAACCATAGCTTGGAGGCCGCAACGAGAAAAGTCAGTTTCAGAGTCTCAATTTAGCAAATCTAAAGAAGAAAGAGAGAGTCAGAACGGAGAGATTAGATGGCGACAAAACATAAAGATATATATTTGAGCACTTTAGTACAAAATACAAATAGGTGGGTTTTGTTTTCTTTGTTTTAAAATAGGACCGATGAAAACGAAAGGTGGCTGAGAAGATATAATATCGTTGTGGGTATATTAGTGGACGAATCTTTGACTTATCTCCTTTGCTATGCTATTTCTATGTATATCAAAACTGTGCGTACTGCTAGTTCATAATTAAGCTGATCATAACCATATACATCGTACTATACAAGAAAACTGAAAATGATGTTTATCATAAACTCACACGACTGTAGATGATGATCAAATTTTATTGGTAACAAGTCTTTTTTTTACATAGTTCATGAGAAACTAGAAACAACATAAATAATTGATACGAGACGAAGGTACGGTAGAACAAAAATTCATTAAGATCTAAGAATTATATTGCATACACCAAGTGGCTCTTGGTCTAGTGATTTCTTTGGGAGAAGAGGTCCTTAGTTCAAATCTACTTGGGAGGAGGGATATTTCCAAAAGGAATACACGTACCGTAGAAATGTGAACCTTCCATTAATTATTAGACTCACACGTAAAGTTTCATTACATCAGACATCGGTAAACCTTCACATGTGCGATTAAATGAATATTTGTTTGAATAGTTTCTGTTGTTGTCTCTTACACATTAACACATGTGCTTTATTTACAATATAACGTACTTTGTAGCCATGAATAGGTCGATTGGTTTCTCATACGTAGACAATGATATGCCTTACGTATTTACAATTAGCCGTGTTTTGTGGACTCTGGAAAATCAATCTTGATAAGAAATTTAGGCATTCAAGTGTTTTCGGTTTTCACTTCCTAATTTTTAATTTTGAGGAATAATAATGAAATATTTGTTTTTTCTGTTAAAATTGGCTAATGTAAAACAACAATATTTTGTTTTTAGTTTATAGAGAACCAAAATCTAAACAAGATAAGACAAATATTACAATGCGTTTGTAGCTTTTGAAAAAAAAAAAAAGAATGATGGCGAACCTTTTGTCACACACCATTTTTTTGGGGTAAAATCCTTTGTCAACACCTAATTAAGTGTAGTTGTCAACTCAAAGAGTTACCTCGTAACTTCCATTAAACTTTTACAATTTAGGTATTTTTAATAACTAAAACAGCATTTATTATCAGTATTAATAATTCAACTTCAGTAATAATTAAATAAACTGTAAAATTCAAATGATCATAACAAATAAAACTAGAAAAAAATGATATAGATGGAATATCATATTGGTTGCAACCGGTGAAATATTTCATTTTAGAAAGGAAAAATCTAAAAGCTAAGGAAAGAGGTTGGTGTGGTCAATACAAAGTGGATTTTGATATTATTGTTCTTTAACGACTTTCATCCTCTCTTATCTTTCAAATATTGATGCCCTTAACTTCTAGAACCTTTACGTAAGACATTTTTCTTTAGTCTTTTGTTTTTTGGGTAATCTTCTTGATAGATTAACGAAAATGATTCTTATTTTCCAAGAGGTCTTTTAAAAATAATGTACACATGTATGTCATATGTGTGTACTGTATGATGTATGTCATATGTGTGTATTGTATGAATAAGTAAGATGTATATATCTGTATTGATCTAAGTTTTTTTTTTTGGTAACAATATTGATTTAGGTTTGATTGATGAGTAGCATCTGCTGCGGTTTTGAGCTCAAGCTGGTCAAAGGTCATTAGTTTACTTTCATGTCGCGTGGTCATTTTTTATTGTCTTTGGTCTAATTGATGACACAAAGTAATATAATGAAATATTTGTTAGAAGAAAGTAAGAAGTAAACGATACTAAAATAATTTTAACAGATAAAAAGTAAGAAGTAAAGAAGATGAGAATACCGCTTTTGGCACCACTGATTTTATCGTTTTAAGATTGGTAACTATTGTAACATACCGTTTTAATTCACCGCTCAAACTTCTTACTTGTCGTTTTTAATTACCGCTCAAATAAACTTCTTCACGGCGTTCACTTGTCTATATAACAAGAATGCATCTTGTTGATAGAATCAAAATGTGGTTGGGATATTTTTATTAGAATGCATGTTGATAGAATCAATGTGGTTGAAAATATTTTAATTTGAAGATATAAGAGAAAAAATGTAAAATATGGAGAGGTTCGATATACAAAAGTAGAATAGATTGGATTCCAGAGGTTAATGAATGTGTGGAAAGACAGTGGAATATGAAGATGAAGATGGCTTTTGTTTCTTTCTGAGAGAAACATTAAGTTTTTGGTTGATGAAAGAATAAATAGCATCTCAAAGAATTAGATCAACGTAATGGCACTGCACTTGTTCACCTCCCTTTGATTTCTTCTTTACTTTCCGATTCCGATTAAATGAAGCTGTAAACAAAAACACAAAATTTTTGAACTCCAACAACAAAACTTGAACAAATGATAAACGTAAGAAAGCTAAGAAGTAAAAACTTACAAGATTGTTAATGGGTTTCTTCCAGTAGAATCCATGAATGATTAGAAAGACAAGATTGCAGGCAATGAGAACGTAGATCGTTAAGGCGTGTATTCCCATCCACTCCAATACAAGACTTGCTCGTTTGTATCCATAAACGTCAACCTGTGGAGATAGATAGAGAGTGAGATTTGCAATTCACAATGTGATGCGAGTGTGTTTAAAAAAGAGGTTCAAGATCATAGCAAACCAAACCATTAGGTATATCGCGGATAACAGGAATCCAGAAGCGCCTGCGGTGACACACATGTAACTCAATGTGTATAGAGGTTTATTTAGATGCATTCCTGCGAGCAAACCGCATTACAAAACTGTGATTACGCTATTTCGATGCAAAATTGTGATTTAATAAGGTATTTTGATCTTGTAATGAATTAGGCCAAAGAATCCTAAAAAGGGGAGTTAGAAAAGCCAAGGACAATACCAAAGAGATCCAATGCGAGACCTAACATCAGAAGACAAAAAGAACGCAAAATCCATTGACTCAGACGCTTTTTGTGGTCCTGTAAGAAGTCAAACAACAATGATAAGTTTCAGATAAGATAACCACAAATGTAATGAAACTGCTATTCTTACTCCCAATTCACCAAAACCAGAGAGACTAATATTACAATAATAATATGGACATTTTTTACCTTGAAGTGGATGATAATATGGCCGTAATGCAAACCCACAAGGCATGTAACGGTGGCCATCAACGAACTACAGTTCAAAAACTTGCAAGTTACTTTGTGAGCAATAGCTATTAAATGATGATTTTGGGAATAGAAGGAGATACCTTAGGAGGCCTTCGGGATCAAAAGGCGCTTGACACCAAGAAGGAGCGCCTGGAGGTAATGGCCCATTGTCTGGATAATTTACACTGCATTGCTGAGAAAAAGATATAAGAGATCAAATGAAAACGGACATGGAAGAAATATCGAGAAAAACAAAGACATGGGTTCAATCTAGAACCTTGGTTCGTAAATACACGGGTTTCCTGTAAAGATGATGGATGCCTAGTAACATACGGTCAAGCATTCCAACTGCATTACAGCCTGGTCCTGTGTGTCCTCGTACCCCACATTTCACCTTCAGATTCTAAATAGGTTTGAGCATCATCAGTATGAGAAGTGGTACAGAATATGTAAGGAAGAATAAAGTATAACAGTATCCAACCAAGAATGTTGTCAATGTTGATCCTTGGTCTTCTGTTGAAATCTGATATTCCCAATCTGGCACGTATAAGCCGTATAGCAAGGACAAATATATTGTTGTAATAACAAATGCCACCACCCTGTATAATAAAAGGATGATCATAAATATCATCTGAATACAAATGCAACACTTACGTTGAGAAATAATAATAAAGACACTTACCAGTGAAATCTGTATTTCTTGATCATAGATAGCTCTGAGCTGACATTATGGTTTCCTTTTAACCAAATCTCGCACAGTGCGGCAACTAAGTATGCTATCGCTATTCTCTGAAAACAAAACAGACAAAGAGAAGCTACTAATTTACAATGTCCAAAAAGAAGGAAACTGCAATGCCTGATTATGGAAAACAAACTACATGAATACCTGTAATATGCCCATCAATCTAATTTTTTCTACATCTATTCCATAACTTAGGCTGTTGAGACCATGAATGAATCCTCCTGAAAAAGTTAAAAACCAATCATTTATGTATGTATGTAGCATCAACACCTTTTGACTTGAGAACATCATAGTTAATTAGAACCAACCTTGGAGAAAAAGACCAAGTAAGAGGAGCTTGAACGATCTAAACAGAGCTTTTCTTGTTGCAGCATACCTGCATGACAAGTTCTGTAAGCAAAAGCAAAATAGAAGATCAGAGTCCACCAACAACAAAAGAAGTTGATCCACTCCCACAGATTAAAATATGGTGAAGCATCATACCTTATAAGCAAAGGCAAGAGAGACACCGACTATAAAAAGGAAGAAAGGCATGACAAAATCCGCAAGCGTTACGCCATCCCAAGGTGAATGATTAATAGCAGGAAAAACCCCTCCAACATCATCCACAAGTATCATCAACTGTTATAATCATATATTACAAAAGAAAAACATTAAACTCCAAGCTCAATACTTTCTTCTTCCACTACTTTTGGTAATAATAGGTATTATATTGTTTCCTGCAAATCCACCAGGAGGAAAACAACTCGGACCAAAGTCTAAGTGACCAAGTGGCACAATGTAAACTAACAACAAGGACTATAGTGAGTTTACGCTCTTGTCCCTAGACCATATACCATTGTTCTAATTAGGTCTTTTTGTTGTTGCTCTAAATACATTGATTAAACAGAGAAGAAAAAAGGAAAGTTGATCTAACCTGAAAACTGAAACTACCTAAGAGTTGCGAAAAGATTGAAACTAATACGAACGAGAAGGTTAAACGATTAAAACAAAGTAGAGAGAGACAGAGATTAAGGAAAACAAACTGACGGCGACGGTAAGGCCACGGAAGACGTCGAGAGAGACTAATCGCTCCTTGTCGGGAGGAAGAGATGGACGAGAAATCTGGAGAGCAGACTCAATGTCTTTCTTCTCCCGCCATTGATCATCACCATCGCAGCCTTTGATTGGTTCGTACATTGCCAACTTCGTCCGCATCAAAGCAAAGAACCAAATCTATCTTCTTCATTCATCAAACTCTGCAGCGTATATATATATATATATATATATATAATGGATATGGATAAATATTTACTTATATAATGGTTTAGGAGCCACTTGAGCCGTTGGTTTCCTATTCACACTCTATTTAACTTTCGGGTTCGCACGTGCCTCTCTTGGGATTGGACCTTCTCACAGGGCTTTTCAGTTTGTTGCCGTCAGTTGCGAACTTGATTCGCTCTCTCTTTATGGGCCTGCTAGTAACAGAAAGCCCACGTCTTTACAAAATTCGTTAAAAAGCTAGAAAAATATATCTGATACTACTAAATTTACATGTAACGACTAACGAATTTTATCTTGATTTTAGTCTACAATCATGCGATTATATGTCGATCTAGAGAAATTACGATTCTGGTAGTATTACGAAATCGAGATTTGACAAAATTTGCAAAATCGTTTAATCGAGATTCTGCCTTCAAATAATCATGATTTTCCCACTAATTATAATTGCTTTAAATGTCATATATATCCTCGTCTATTTCCTCCCCTGATTTCGATGATATGGAATGGTTCGATTGATTCCAAAGTTGAAAAGGATTACAAAAGTAACCAATGCAAACGCAAGGCGATATGACACCCCGGAGTTACAAAGCAGTAGAATGACGGGAAATGTCAAAATGAGTGTTTCCGGTTAAAACTTATTCGGGATCATCAATATAAAAATAACAAACAGACACAAACAAAACAACCTTAGGCTTTTGTAGCTCCTCCGGCTTTCACAAGGCCTTCAAGAGCCTTTAGAATCTGTGGCTCGCTCATACCATCCAGGTTTACACACCTCTCCACACCCATATCTGCATAGGATTCAAAAACAGAAGCATTTATAAATAATAGTTTCCAAGTATAATACAGGACAAATCATTCGACGCATATGCACTATATCGGCCAAAAGAAAGCATCATTGTCGTGTTTTCCCATGTATATGTTTCATGCTTTTATCTAACACTGACAGTCATGTGGAGTGGAGTCTTAAAGCAGACAGATAAAGATGATCAAGTTCTCTCAACACAGATGGTCTGAATACTTTAAGGCGGCTCTGATATGTGATTACCGTAAAGTTCCAAAACAAAAAGAACACAAGAAAAAAAAAAAGGAGCAACATCTGTAGGCAAATAGCATAAACCATAACTTTTGGCATTCACATCATACACAATAAGGAACTAGGGAAAACAAGTCTCATCTTAAAAGCAAGAGACAAATAGGCATAGTGGTTAGGCACAATACATTTTCATCGATGGCCAAGGCTTTAGAGGTAAGTGTTCACATTCACTGGAATGTTTAACTCAAGATGTTATAAAGTATCTTCCATACAAATTGAATGCAAAAACAAAAGAAGTAGCCATACACGTCTGCAACTACCAATGAGGACATTCATGTCAAACCGATAAAGAACATAGATACAGCTCAAATTAACTTTCCCATTATTACCAAACCAAACCAATATGTTTCCCAGTAAGCACAATAGTCTCAATCTATTTACATTGACATTTTGAAGTCAAACGTTCCCTAGTGTAGGCAGCATAACCACAAATGCTTTGAATTTTTGGTGTCGAGTTATATTCAAATTCTATTCACGAGATGAAGAAATGGGAGTTTAAGCTATTACCATATCTTGCCCACATCTGAGGCTGGATCCCACTACATTCGCGGATCAGAAAGGGGAATTTAGGGTTTAGAGACTTCAAATCTTTGTAATTCTTCTCAACGAACGTTCTAATTCCCCCAAAACAAAACCATAAACAACGGAAACTGATTAATACGGGGACGATCTATTGAATCGCCGATCTCAGAGATTGCTTGATCCAACACGCAAAATGAAATGGGAGCAGAAGAAACCTGGTGGAAGCACTAGCTGGAGATGATTGACAGAGAAGAATCCTGAGCTCTTTGAGAGACCTCGATATGTTTCTTCTCCATGCCATCGCTCTTGTTCCTCTACAGATGCTGCAACACAGAATCGGATCAAGCACGAGACGGTCTATGAGCTTTTAGCCAATTGGGTGGTGGTTCAATTGCAAATGGATTTTTAACAAATTTGTTGTTTTTTTTTTTTTTTGGAGCAAACGAGTTTTACGGGGTACGAGCTTAGGCAATTAAAGAGATTGGGCTTCGGCCCATTAATTGAGTCGGTTTTGGTTAGGTTAAACCTGGCTAGGTTACGTCTGTGCATTGACAACTTTATATTCTCTCTCTGCCACAGATCAGCTTTTATTTATTAGAAAAAGTTTCTCCCAAAGGAACATAAATATCTCTCTCGTCTATTTTTTTTTATTTTTCTGAGAAAAATATCTCTCTAGTCTTGGCGTTGTTCTCTCGCGTAGTTTCTTCTTCAGGTGCTTTCCGATCACTTTTTTCTCTTTTTTTTGTTCTTATCGTCTCATAGTTTTTATATTCGGTCGATCGATCATCTCGATCCTGTGATCTGATTGTTTGTATGTGTTCATCGTTTTCTTTTTTCTTTCTGGAATTTCGGATTTTTAGTTGTCTTTGTCTGTCGGATTTTTTTGTTTTTTTTTTTACATCCATGCAATTAGATGGTTTCGCGAGTTGGGTATATTTTATCAGAATTTTTGTTGGCAGACGTATAATTTGGAATTTAGTGTTCTTGTTTGGGATATATAGATGCTGCTCTGTTCCGATGATCCTGAATTCGTTTGTTTTTTCTTCTGTCTCATTATGTTTTTTCCATGATTAGATCAGTTATGTAAGCTAGATTGATTTGGAGAGTTCTTGTTAATGATAGCTCCTAAATCTTTCCTTTTGAAAAATAATATTTAATTGATTGTGCAAACTAGTTTCTCTTACGATTATAACTGATGAACGCATGCTATGAATTTTATTAGATTTACTGCACCTTTTATAGCTGATTTTTTTTGGTAATAGTTTTGTAATTTCGAAGAATGTATTTGGTCTTACAACTCAGGGCTTTTTGTTCAGTTTGATCATTATCCTCGTATATAATGGTGATGGTTGATTGAGGAATCTGTTAGTTGGACATGTTTTTGGTTCTAACTTGCTTCTGACTGTTGTCCCTGTGTTTTTGCAGGTGTTAAAATGGGAGACAATCACGACGACGACAAGAACATTGAGATATGGAAGATTAAGAAGCTGATCAAATCCCTTGAAGCCGCTAGGGGAAATGGAACTAGCATGATCTCACTCATCATGCCTCCACGTGATCAGGTCTCTCGTGTTACCAAGATGTTGGGTGATGAGTATGGAACCGCATCAAACATCAAGAGCAGAGTCAATCGCCAGTCTGTTTTGGGGGCCATAACTTCTGCGCAGCAAAGGTTGAAACTTTACAACAGGGTCCCTCCCAATGGCCTCGTGCTCTATACTGGCACCATTGTCACCGACGAAGGCAAGGAGAAGAAGGTCACGATTGACTTTGAGCCTTTTCGACCGATAAACAACACTCTCTACCTTTGTGACAACAAGTTTCACACTGAAGCTCTGAATGAATTGCTGGAATCGGATGATAAGTTTGGTTTTATTGTAATGGACGGTAACGGGACTCTCTTTGGAACTCTGAGCGGTAATACCCGAGAGGTGCTTCACAAGTTCTCTGTTGATCTTCCGAAGAAACACGGAAGAGGAGGACAATCAGCTCTTCGGTTTGCTCGTCTCCGTATGGAGAAGCGTCACAATTACGTGAGGAAAACCGCTGAGCTCGCCACGCAGTATTACATCAACCCTTCTACAAGTCAGCCTAACGTGTCTGGTCTGATCCTCGCCGGTTCAGCTGATTTCAAGACTGAGTTGAGTCAGTCAGATATGTTTGATCCTCGGCTCGCTGCGAAGATACTGAATGTGGTGGATGTGTCGTATGGAGGAGAAAATGGTTTCAACCAGGCTATCGAGCTGTCATCTGAAATCTTGGCGAATGTGAAATTCATTCAAGAGAAGCGTTTGATAGGGAAGTACTTTGAGGAGATAAGCCAGGACACGGGGAAGTATGTGTTTGGCGTGGAAGACACGTTGAATGCTTTGGATTCAGGTGCTGTCGAGACACTAATCGTGTGGGAGAATCTTGATATCAACAGATTTGTGATGAAGAACAGTGCAACGGGTGAAACTGTGATAAAACACTTGAACAAGGAACAGGAAGGCAACACGGAGAGTTTCAAAGCAGGCAATAGCGATTTGGATGTGGAGGAGAAGATGTCTTTACTGGAGTGGCTGGCTAACGAATACAGGCGTTTTGGTTGTGCTTTGGAGTTTGTAACCAACAGATCGCAAGAAGGGTCTCAGTTTTGCAGAGGGTTTGGAGGAATTGGAGGGATACTTCGCTACCAGCTTGATATGACTGCCTTTGATTCCGAGGATGGAGAAGTTTATGATGATGATTCTGAATAGCAATCAATCAAATCCTCACCATCGCTGGTTCGGGAAGATGGCACACCACCAAGCTTGAACCAGCCTGCGCGGGCTATCGGGGTCACGCAGAAGATAATTCGAAATTAAATGAAGAAGCATCTTTTTCAAAAGGTAAGGGATCTCTTAAAACCTAGTCTTGTTGTTTTGGAATCCGTAGTTTAATCTCTGAAATGGTATTGAAACAGGTGTCGAATGAAGAAACAGGTGAAGAATGAAGAAGAGAGTTGGGAGAATGAAGAAGTCTTTGCTATAATTTACCTTTGTTGTTTTTCTTATTTCAGTATCATGATACTCTCTGTCTGAGAGCAAACAGTGATTTTTGTTTGGATTGATGAATAAAGTTGGGACGACCAACACTTTGCTGTTTTCGTCTTTGTTTTGATTTTTGTTTGGATTCATGAATAAATTTGGGACGACCAACACTTGCTCTTTTCGTCTTTGTTTTGTTAAAAGCTTTCTCTTAGTAGTTAGTACTCAAGAATGTCTACTTAAAAACATTCTGTTAGCCAATTTCAAAATTTTGGGCTTGAATCAAGTTTTTGTCTAAAAACTTGCTGCATTAGCTCTAGCTTTTGACAAAAATATTTTGGAAGAACAAAGCAAGAAATTAAGAGGAAATTTGTCCGACCAGACCGTTAATACACGCTGGTAAGAATATCTAGATGGGCTTTTTCCCGAACATATTTCATGAAACTAAAAAGTTGACAAATATCATTGTTAGAGTCAAATCAAAACTGTTTACAGTGATTGCTATATGCAAAAAATCTAAAACAGAGAGCTGCGTAATAAAAACACTTAGAAAAAAAAAAGAGAGGGGTTGGTTTGAGCTTCCACCTATCCCCACCTACCTACTACGAGAAGAAGCACGTCAAGTAGCAGACAAATTGCGTCTTGTCTCACTCATTTCCTGTTTTCCTCTTCTCTCCCAAGTCAGAGTTTTTTTTGTTCTTGTTCGATCTGCACAAAAAAAAAATGGCTTTGCAAATGCAGACCTCCACGACGCCCTTCAGAAACTCCGTTCCATCTTCCGCTGCCGGAAGACTCTCCTTACTGCAAACCGTCGCCGTTCGCCGTGAAATGTTAACGGCGTGGCGTGGAGTCAGATGTAGCGGCGGTGGAGTCGGAGTCGGAGGAGACGCCGGGAAGAAAAAAGCGGTTCCTAATTCCAACTATGTGGTGCCTTTAGACAAGTTCTCTTCCTCTTCGTCCATCACTCGGCCTCTAATCGAGATACTTCGCGATCTTAACAAGAAGATCCCTGATAACATCGTCAAGAGCCACGATCCTGGCTCCAATGCTGTTTCTTCTGGCTTTATCCCTTGGTACTCTTCTCTTTTCTTTTTTTTTGGGAGTTCTCAACCTAATTGTCGGTTTTGATCTGACCACTTCTGAATTTTGTATTTCCAGGTACCATGCAAATCGGATGCTTAGCTTCTACGCACCTGGTTCGTAATCTAAGATTGCATTATCTGCCTCGTTTTTGAATATCATCATCTTCTTCTCTGCAGAGACTAATTTTAATATACTTCTATTCAGGCTGGTGTGGGGAAGTTCGTGATGTGATTTTCTCTGAGAATGGTAATGTCACTGTTGTTTATCGTCTCACAATTCGTGGCTCTGATGGTGAGGTAAGCTCCTCAAGATTCACTCTTTTTTTTTTTCTCGTTGATACTCTTCTCACTAGATTGAGGTAGCCATTTTTCAAATTGCTATATACTTCTTTTACTTTGTGTGTGTGGCTAATTCTCTGTGATTAAGTAGGTAAGAAATGCAAGCTATGTCTAGATGTATTTGTTTGTCTAACTTTGTGCAATCTAGAGGATAATATCTTATTGCTAGCTTTCAAGAGTATATCAACGATTTAAGGAAAAATATCTAGCTCTCTCTCCCCTCTGAATATATGTTAGAATTATGAATAATAAGAAGAATTGGTTCGTTCTTGGATCTTCTCATCTTTTCGATCAGGAGATACTGAACTTTTTCCTGACTTGGCGGTTTCATGACTCATGACTTGTTATATATGTAACCATGATTACATGACTAAGTTTTTTTTTTTTTGTCTTTCTATTATTTTGTGTGTCCACAATTCAAAAGTTGAAGTTTTATGTAATACAGGCACATCGTGAATCAACTGGGACAATAACGACGACTGATGATCAAATCGAGGATCCAGTTGCTGCAGCTGAAGAAATAGCATTCTGCAGAGCATGTGCTCGGTTTGGTCTCGGCTTGTATCTGTATCACGAACAATAGGCCGATAATTTCAAGTGTGCTTACCTTTTTTTGGTTGACTCGTCTATCAACAACTAGTTGGCAGACCCTTCCTTATGTGATCTAGAGTTCCAAATATGTAATGATGCCCACAAACAAGTTAAAATAATATAAGCAAATCATAATTCCGTCAGTGACGGGAGTTTTTTTTATGTAAAATGCATTAGTTTTTTTCTATGTTTTGTATACATGAGTAAGTAACATTATGGTCTCAGAAGTTTTGGACCCATATTTGAAGCCATCCAAGACGTGACTGCATCGACGAGCAGTGCAAGATCTTTGGACATGTCAGCACGAAGGATATTCGAGTCCTTTCCTAGAGAACCTCCAACCTCTTTAGCCATAGACTCCCACGGAGTCCCAACAGCAATATTCGCCAAAAACTCACTTCCTCGATTTACCGCCTCTGCCATTGCTGGTGGAACATCTGGAAGAGCCTGTCCAGACAGTAAATCAAATCATTTTCAACGTTGTGACATCAGTGAGAGCCAAACAAAAACAAAGGCTCTGGTGTTCGTGTTCTTGGATTATATCCGCAACACAGATCTCTGTTGCAAAATAATTTGCATTAAACTCAAGTCAGTACCTGTTGCAGAGGAAGACCGTGATCCCCTGGAAGTGTGCGGATAGACATGTCTAGCTTTGAGCTTATAGATGATTCCACCCCAAGCACCTGGGCTAGGATTGATGTTTCATCGATTGTATCATCTTCGAACTTTATCAAAAGATTCCTAGAGATTCCATAGTAGGATCTTACCTGAACATGATTAGAAAGAATTTCTATTAGTCTGATGGAGTGTGATAGATGGTTATCAAGACGAGATAAGGCTCCATGATAAAACATAAATCAAATAACATTATGGGTTTCACCTACAAGGCGTCTTGTTTCTTCTGGTTTTGGAATGAAGTCTTCCCTTCCTTTTACCAAGTCCATGTACAAGGGAGGGAGCTGTTCCACTAATGGTAGAATTTGCTTCATGATGGGAGGGCTGAGAGTTTCTAATTGCTTTCGGGTCATCTCTGCCTGCAAGCAGTATTTGTTGTCAGTTATATGTGACAAGGGAAAGAACAAAATCACTAAGGCGTTAGTGTACACATGACCCAATGTCTCGAGTTAGCAAACGAATTGATCAAACACAATCACCAAAAGCAAGAAGTTAGACTATCACTTGGGCAACTAGCAAAGAGCTGCACATTTTGAAAAGCAAAACAAAGGAATCAGAACCTCACCCCAAGGCGGACTGTCGGAGATGTTGCTATCTGTGATAACAGTGGTCCAAGGCTTTGAGCCATCGGGACAAGAACTGGGGAGAACAAAGGAATAGCTAAGCTTGCTTCCTGCAAAATTAGAGGTTCCGAAAAGATATCACCTTTACAGGTTTTTTGACATCATAACGGGATTCACAATATCTTCCACTATAAAAATTATTACTTTAGAGAGGACAGGCTAGTCTCGAAAGTTTGTGATAAGTCTGATAGATCACAAGGGTCTATATATATGGGAATGCTTCTCAAGAGTATCTTGCATCATCTAAGTGAATGAGGGACAGACATGGGACTGCAATAATATTGGGAGTGTTTTTCTATCTCAACACGAAGAGGTAATATGAAGAAATTGGGTTTGCGACCAGTGTTTTGGGAAAACAAAAGGGGAGACTCTCCAGAATCAACCATTTTCAGCATATTTGCTTTATGAATGTTTAACCTTAATCTCCTCAGTTTCTCTCTTTGTTCTTAAAAAATTTTCCACTGTCAATTCTATGTTTAATGGCAACTCTGATTTCCTTTGGTAAGATAGAGAAACCCATTTACCTTGTTGTTGAAAGCCATAAATACATTACCACTTCGCTGAACGGCATACCTTGATCCTGAATGACTAGTGAACCAACTCAATAAACAATAATGAGCTGAATCAATTTTATACATTCACAACCATTTTCAAACCTACTTACCAATCAGAAGGTGAATGACGGATCCCAGAGAATGGCCGATCCCAAAAGATGGAAGATCCTGCACCTGTTGAGACAAAAGAAAATACTATTCAATTCATATCTTCCCATATACAGACACCAATTTTTCTTTCTTGGAGCAAAGAACAAGCTGGAATCAAAAAGATTACTTGTTTCTCCAGGATCACTAAAAGATACTCACTGTTTCTTGTAGTGATCGGCAGCATCTATCAAACTTAAATTGTACTTCATCTGCAATAGAGAAGTGGTCAAAACCACTAGCATAGGGTGTGGCGATAACCAAAACATCCCTGCACCATCGACTGTGTTAATTATTATGCACAACATGATCATAAATTCATGAAATAACCTAGAATCAGATAAGGTAGATTAATAGTATACTTCAGAAAGTTTGGCCTCGAAAAAGGAAAACTACTACAGCCTAAGAACATATAAAAGTATCCGTCACAGACTTACTTCTCTGCTAATCTCTCAAGAAACAATCGATAGGTAAGCTGGGGTGCTGCACCAACAAATATGCCGCCAATGAAATGAACAATCATCTTTGGCTTCGAGTTTCTGGGTTTGAGCACCCATGCTCCCTACAACAGTTCAGTAAATTGTTGAGAACAATCCGAAACAAAACTTATTCTAAATTACACAATTCTCATTGAACCCTCAAAGTCCAGTTCAAACATGTAAATCCACAATCGAAGTTAACGTACGATGTTCTTATCCGAGAACAAATAAAGGAATTGAGAATGAAATCGATTAGAAGAATTCGATAACACAAAACACACCTCGACTTCTGACCAGTCAGAGGATCCACCAGAGCTTCTTTGAGATTGTTTGACAGTCTCTGTAAGTAACCTGAAAATCGAATTGATTTGCCACAAGTAGGAACAGTGAGCTTAAAGGTGAAGCTAGTACGCACATCGATAAACGGAAGTGGCTTACCTCTCAATCTCACCATAGACCTGAATTCCCGAAGATTGAGGCCGATCCCTGTCTTTCTCCTCGTAGCTACAGAAGACTCTTCGTGAGACACGCTCTTTACCTAATTTGAGCACCGATGATAGAGACCGGCGACTACAAGAAAAGCTACAGAATCGCCGGCGGGGAGAAAAAGACGGCGACGTCCAGAGGCCACAGGTAGCCATAGTATTCGACCGGAAATATTTCGGAGCTGGAGGAGATTCGCAATGCTAGGAGCGAATTGGCTATTCCAAGTTCGTCTGGTTTTGTTGGTTTTTGAAATCGCAGTCGTGTACGCATCCGACTTCTATGACTGTAACAGCCTCTTGTTCGCAGCTAACGCAAACATTGTGATCATCCAAAAAAACACAATAAATTAATTGGCAAATTATGTTAAAAGGTTTATGCAAAAAATGTGCTACTCAAATTATGCCAATTGGTAAATTACGTTAACATATCTACACATGACATTAACATTTGGTACTAACTAACATGATCTTTTGTCATTTAGCACATTAATTTTCCTCTAAATAACATGCTAATAACACTTCAATTAAGTGTGTTTTGTCAATAAAACAAATCATAGTAATTTAGCTATAATTCAGCTTTGGAATACAAAATAGAAAATTCAAAGAGTTGACCATCAAATCTATACGTTGGAATAGAAAATAGAAAAATCACTAAGAAGAAAAAAAGACTTGGGATTTGCTAACTGGGTCCTCAGACTAACCGCGTTAATCTCCGTTCTTAAAAAAAAATCACCATTCTTAAACATTCATCGCCATGTGAAGTCTTTCTTCTTCTTCTTCTTCTTCTTCTTCAATGGCATTTACCATCTCAATCTCTCGTTTCTCCTTTTACTTTCCCTCTCTCCTTCTTCTTGTATCCTCCTCCTTCTTACTCTGCTTCTCCCTCTCCACTGTCTCCATCTCTCGCACCTCTGATCAGAGTCAGACCCTTGTGTGTGCTCTCACGAACCGCTCTCATCTCCAATGTTCCAGTTTCCCTTTAAACTCGATTCGATTCTCTTTAACCGATAAACTCCGGAATCGTGAGTTTTCCGGCCTTGTCTCCGGCAACGGGTTTGTCTGCGGGCTAACATCGCCGATGGATTCCAACACTTCTACAATTCTCTGCTGGAGATTTTCCGACAACGGAGCTAACATGTCGTACAAGAGAATCTACCAAGGTCCTGAGCTCAAAGAGCTCGAAGCCGGGACTTCTCGAATTTGCGGAGTTGAGAAACTCACAAATCGCACAGTTTGCTGGCAACCAGTCTCTCCGCCGCAGCCGGATAATTACGACTCCATCGCCGTCGGAGAGAATTTCTTCTGTGAGTTATCAAAGCCACCTGGAAAGATCAGATGCCAAGGAGAAGAAAACATAGCCAAGGTGCCTAGTGGGAACCGTTACATCGCGATTGCGGCTGGGTCAAGACAAGCCTGCGCGATCACGATTGACAATGATGTGGACTGTTGGGGACAAGCGCAGTCGCAGTCGCTGCCGCAGCCGCGTGAAAAGTTCTCAGCACTTGCGGTTGGGGAAAACCGTAGCTGCGGCGTTAGATGGCCTTATGGTACAGTGGTGTGTTGGGGAGGAAGCAACAACAACGATTTCAGTTTGCCTCGGAATCTTGAGGACATTAATTTCGTATCAATTTTCGCTAAAGGTCCAATCTTTTGCGGAGTTGCCACAAAAAACCACACTCTGTATTGCTGGGGAGATGAGAATTTTGAATCGGGTGTTTTCGCTCCGTTCCAAGGCCAATCTGTAATTCCAGGACCGTGTAGAAAAGAATGTCCTTACGGTCCATTGTCAGGATCAGAGTCATTATGCAGCAGTGGATTAACGATCTGCGATTTGACCAGAAAGGATACACAACAAGACTCTAAGAACAAAACTTGGAGCAGTAAAAACGTTGCGTTTTTAGCGGTCGGATGCATTGGAACGGTTTCCTTGCTCCTTGTCATTAGTTTCTTGGTCTATAAAAGCAAATGTCGATGCCGTGTCCATGACTCAGGACGTCTTGACGATAACAGGATTATTATAGACAGACCCAAGCTCGAGAAGAGGCTGAGCAGTCTAGCCAGTTTAGGGAACCCTGGCCAGCTCGTGGAGTTCTCAATTGACGAATTGGCTCTAGCCACAGACGGGTTCTCTGTTCGGTTCCAGCTCGGGATAGGCAGCTTCGGCTCTGTTTACAAAGCCGTATTGTCTGACGGACGTCATGTAGCCATCAAAAGAGCCGACCTCACAAACCCTGCGTCTTCCGGGACATCGATGAGAAACCGAAACAGACGAGAGGACAATGATTCCGCGTTCGTAAACGAGCTAGAGTCTATGTCGCGGCTCAACCATAGGAACCTAGTTAGGCTTCTCGGTTTCTACGAGGATGCGGAAGAGAGAGTTTTGGTCTACGAGTACATGGAGAATGGCTCTCTAGCCGATCATCTTCATAACCCTAGATTCGAACCTCTGACGTGGGAGAGACGTTTGAGGATCGCGCTTGACGCGGCGCGTGGGATCCAGTACCTCCACGAGTTCGCCGTTCCTCTGGTGATCCACCGTGACATAAAGTCGTCCAACATACTGCTGGACGCCACGTGGACAGCCAAGGTATCGGATTTTGGGCTCTCTCAGATGGGTCCAACTGAGGAAGAGGACGTCTCGCATCTCTCCTTACGCGCCGCCGGTACACTGGGGTACATAGACCCGGAGTACTACAGGCTCCAGCAGCTCACGACAAAGAGCGATGTTTACAGCTTCGGCGTCGTGTTGCTTGAACTGTTGTCGGGTCACAAGGCGATACATATGAACGAGGAGGAAAGTCCTAGAAACGTGGTGGAGTTTGTGGTGCCTTACATTTTGCAGGACGAGGTTCACAGGGCACTTGACGGGAGGATTCAACCGCCGACGCCGTACGAAATCGAGTCTGTGGCGCATCTCGCGTACTTGGCGGTGGAGTGTGTGATGCCGTGTGGTCGGCAAAGGCCGTCCATGGCTGAGGTAGTGAGTAACTTAGAGAGTGCTTTAGCTGCTTGTTTGGCTGCTCCAAAGACCCAGCCCCTTTCAAAATCCAATAATAATTAGTCACGTGTCTCTTTATTTATTTATTTATTTTTCAACACATACAATAAGAATATGCACAGCTACATATCTTGTCCCTTCTTTTTTCAATTCCATTGGTCTTCTTTTATTTTTATTTTTTTTTCGTTCAACCAGTTACTATTTTTTCTTCTTCTGGAATAGAAATCGAGTTCATTTCATGGGTACAGAATTTTCTAAGTTTTTTTTTCCGAAGAAACTTAGACTATACAATCCAATTTTTTTTATGGCAGCTTTATGTGAAACTCAAACCAAAAGCCAATAAGATTCTTCGCTGCTTTTTGCACGCATAACGCATTAAGTAAGATTCCAAGTCAACCGTTTGGAGACAAAAAGAAGTGAAGCTTCAACTTATATTAAACTCCATTGGAAAAGTCCAAGTCTACTCTCGTCTTCTAGTATTAGTTGCTAGGAAAAAGAGTAGCTGAATAATCACGGGTTCCGTTTTGAAGTTGAGTTTAGACGCCAACGGTCAAAATTTGACTGATACGAAAAGACTAAAGAAAGTCTCAAGGATCAACTCAGATCTATTATATTTCTAAAGAATAAGAGAATCCTGGTCTCCATGATTGCAACAACAGAACACAATGGGTTATTTGCAGTAAATCTACAAGAGTATAAGAAGAAGGTCGGTTTGAGGTAGACATTGTCTTAGTGGCAACAAACAGACCCATTATTGCGATACAAGTGATATCAATAGACTGTGATAAATGCAAGGGGTAATATTTACCGCTGGTTAAGTCCGTGCCAAGGAATGATTCAACTCAAAAGTGAACTTGGTTGGTGTTCCTCTGTTTAACAAATTCGAACAGAGAAGTATCGAGCCGTGCAAACACTTCCTGAAGCCCGTACCAAGAATGATTCAACTTAAAAGAGAACTTGGAGCCTTGTTCCTCTGTTGAAGCATTTCGGACAAAGCAGTATCGATCTTGGCAAACACTTCCTCCTTTGAACGGTTTCCCGGTATCTGGATAATAATAATAAACGAAGTACCATTTTGCTTCAAGAAACTCATCAAAGAGGAGATAGCAAAACCGAAATGGAAAGGGTGTGAATGAGATCTAGTACCTTAAGAGTTATATCGTCGTACATGGAAAGCACATCTCTCACATTTTGGTTATGAGTCTTCAGCCGAAGTTTTGCCTGCAGCGAAAGAAAAAGAAAAATTGAGAGACAGACTTGGACTGAGTAAGTTTAAAATCCGAGAAATAACGATTGAATGGGTAACTTTCAAGAGACACAGAACAATAACAAGTATTGACTTGCCTTCTCTTCGGTATCATCAAAACGTTGGGTGAGTCTAGCAGCGATCTCTTCTGTCTCTGGAGGAGAATACTTCAAGTGGTAGATCTTTCCCGTGACAGGATCCAATCTACGCCCAACAACTCTTTCAATGAGAATATCTTCAGGAACCTGTCCCAAAAGCAGAGTACGCGTAAATCAAATAATCCCATCTCCATTCATTGGTTAAAGAGTCAAAAAAAATGTTAAACCATCTTACAAAAGATGAAAAGCTAATGGACCGAGTTTCTTATCAGTAGTCTGGTTTCTAAGACTGATATACCAGTGTTTAAATTTCTAGCTAATGTTGCCGAATCTTTGGTCCAAAATAATCCTTTTTTACACTCACAAACATAACTCTAATCTAGCAAGTTCTAGAGAAAGCCTTTAGATGATAAGAAAAGGTGCTTACTTCGAGGAGAATGAATAGATCAGGCTGGAATCCAAATCCTTTAAGAGCTGTTGCCTGTGATGAGCTCCTAGGATATCCATCCAAAAGCCATCCACTTTCCTCTGAATCCTTTTGTGATAACCGATCTTTTACCATCAACACAACTATTTCATCAGGGACCAATTGCCCTTTCTCCATATATTCTTTTGCCAGTCTTCCATTTTCACTTCCAGAAGCGATTTCAGCCCTCAGCAAATCTCCAGCAGAGATATGCACCAAACCATACTGCAAAGAGGTAGTAGATAAACCATCATGAATCAAGCATTGAAGTCTTCCGCGGAAACAGAAACTAGCAAGTTCCACAGAAACACCAGAACGATTTTGCCTATTCATGCAACCTAAGCTACAAATCACCTGACGCGTTACTAAATCATTTACCATGATACATCCAAAAGCTAGTCTCATGGAATGTTATGGCTGGCCTAAGTCGAGCTTCATTTACTAAATCGATCAAACTATACTCAAATACATCGTGAAATGGTTACAATATCAACTGAATAAACTAAAAACAAGACGAAGAAGCTTACTTTCTGAGTAATCAGCTCGCATTGTGTACCTTTACCCGAAGCAGGAGCTCCTGAAATCATAATCTTCAGAGGCTCCGCTTTTTCGGCCGCCACAACCTGAAGAAACGAAATCCAAAATAACAGCTCGCAGATGCGCACCCAAACGCAATCAAAATCGGAGCTGAAACAAGCACCCAAGTGCGTTTACCCGGAATCTGGGAGCGACGATCGACGGAGATCTAGAAGCACGTCGGAGGAATATGGTTGGTTCCCGGGAAAGAGAATGCACGGCATCGCCGGAAAACGAGAAGGACAACCGTGAAGTAGGAGATAGAGAGGCACGTGGCGGGCAAAGAGTTACCGGCGGGGAAATAAAATTCACACAGCCCGCCATGTCTCTCTCTCTCTCTCGCTCGCTCCACGAGCCTTTAGGAAGTAGCCTGTGGTGGTGGATTACAGAGGAATCAAAACAAAAAGCGAAATCAAGAGGACGATAGTGTTCTTCATTTTCAGTCAAAGGCCCAAAACCTAAGTGGACTTGTTTTTAACTATTAAAATTCACTTACCGTTTCACCTTTTTACTATAAGTTTCTTGACCGAGGTAACAAAATAAAAATACAAATCTTATTACTAAATTTGATTGATTCCGGTTTTAATGAACCAAATTCTATTATTTCGATTTAATTAACCTTTCATATAAGAGAAAAATAACCCAAATTTCGACCCAGAACATTGATTGATTATGAATTGAATTTTTTTTGCTTTGAAATGTTACCGAATTAAGAGGTGTAAATTTGTACGAGGAGGAAATAGGGAATGCGACAAGAAGTTGCGTACCTCCTAGAATCTTCTGGCGTTTCATCATCATCCCTCTTCTCTTTTTCTCTTCGATTCTCTCCACTTTAAGTTTGCCGATGCATTACGCCATGAACGGTGATCCCGAGGCGGAGATGATGGAGACCGACTCCGGTGAGACCTTCGTTATCGACAAGCACACCGGCACGGCCAGGGATTTCCTCTCCGCCGCTCGGAGGCTCGTCGATCAAGGCGAGCCTTCACAAGCTCTTCAAGCGGTATTTTCGATTTCTTCTACCTTTTTTCTCTTCCATTTCCGTTTCTCCTTTTCTTCCTTTTAGCATTCTTCTTCGGATTGTTCGATGTGTTTACGGTTTTTGTTGTGGTGGCTACTTTCGTTTTAGAAGATAAAAAGCTGTTTCGATACTTCAACTCTGGACTTTGACTAGGGTTCGTTGATTGTTACACTTCGGAATTTCTCAAGATCGAATTAGTTGTTTGTTTCAGTGGTTTTTGTGCTGAAGATCGAATTAGATGCGACTAGCTGATAGATTGTTATCCAGTGAGCAAAAGGTTATAAAAGATTAATAACTCAAAAGGAAATGTAGAGTAAGCCTTTCAAATGTTGCATAAGGATGAGCATTTTGATTTCTGGAGGCCTTTGTTGTTTTTGATGAATCATAAATACAGATTGGCTTCTTAGATTCTTGATATTATCCTGTATAATACATTAGTTACCACTATAACTACGGATTGTACATGTTCGAATGTGTATCTTAAGTTTGATTCATTACATTCTTCTCCTTCAAATAAGTCTGTGGATGCTGCGTCGCCTTCATCCATTGGTTATCATATCAAGAAGGTTTAGAACTGTAGAAGAAACATCTCCTCTTATTATAAGATAGTGTGACTAGACCCATTTACTTTTGGACACGCATTACATAGTAAAAAGACACCCATGTACAAGTTGAGTTAATGTAAAAACAATTATATTGCTAGTTCTGACTATGCAGTTATATCTTTACTTTCTTCTAGACTTTCAGAATTCTAAAGTATTCATCTTTGTTGAATTGGGATTGGTTGTGATTACAAATCATGATCTAGTCATGACACTTACATAGTGAAAAGATCGTTCACTTTGTGTATATGTGCTGCATTTGACTTATATTTTCCTTTTATCTTTCTTTCCCTGAGCCAGTCTATAATGTTTTGAGCAGGTAGTGATGGCGATGAGAACCCAAGGAGGAGATGAGGCGGTACTTCAGATACTGAACCGTACCCGTGAGCTTTACAAGCGTAGAATCCAAGAAACAGCTAGTATAGATCAGCTGGCTTCTATATTTGCAGAGTGTGCCATTACAGAAGCACAGCCTCTTGGTCACGAGCCAGCATCAACAGACTTGTTTGGTACCAAAGGAACAGTTGCAGCGGATGCTCGTGGCATATCTATTCTGGAAAAAAGCGGGAGGTCACAGATCATGCTCGATGCCTTTGCTGACGGAAGCAGCTTTATCTGTCTACAATGCGGTGGTCTGGTAAGCATCCATAGGAGAGATGAACATTACGCCTACTGGTGTAGCAATATGTGATACAAAGGATACTATTTTGTTGGCCACGACATGAGAAACATCTGCTGTAGTATTTGAGTGTTAATTGTTGTTGATCTTTGAACGAAATGGGAGATATATAACACTTATAAATTTGTCTCATAATCAACTGACCTATGCTTATATCAATAAAAGCTTGAAGAAAACGCATTGAATCATGTCTATAAAATCGGCTTTTTATGTCTCACTCTTGATATATGATGTGCTGCTAATCTTGGGTTGAGTCAACTTGTGAGACTTAAACAAAACTGAACACTAAACAGATATATTTTATCATTTACAACAAAACCAAAAAACAAATAAAACTGGTGGTCATTTACTTCATACAAATAATATCTGCAACTTTGAAGATGAGCTTGAGCTCCTTTTAGTAGTGGATGTATAAGATGTCAATTCTATCAACATGAAAAGAAAAATCTGACTCCTTAAAAAAAAAGCCGTCTGCTATCTGTTACCTACAGCAAGCGATCGGCAGCAAACTCCCGCCCGCTCGTCCTGGTGCTTCTCCTTAATGCGGTAGACACGTCTAATAACGAGGTTTCTATTACCACACAACGTTAAGAGTTTTCCTCCCAAATGAAAACACGGCAGCAAAGTCCAGTCTCTGCTCGTGCATGAAAATTTGATCTCCGTTAGAAAAGACAAAGATATCCTCTCCAAATTGCTTACATAATCTAAGGAAGGAAGTGAATGATTTACCTGCACCCATTTGTATGATCTTTTCCATAAAAGTCTCCTACTCACAGGTAAATAGAGAGCTTGAACACTAAAAAGAAGATCCTCTCAGAAAAAAGGCAAGCAACTTGATCACATGATCTTATTAGGGAGAGCCTTATGTCGAGGTTTTGCCTTGAGAAGTGTTTCATCACTGTGCCTAATCCACTCAGAGAGTCTCCATGGCTTTTGCCACTTCCATTTGAATTGAACGATCCACTGGTGATGACTTCTCTTCCACCTCCAAAGTTTACCACCTTGTTGTCCTACGGCTGATAGTTTTCTCATCGATACTTGTCCCATCGGTACCATCTGCAACCAACAAAGAAATAACATATGACTCTTAGATCTCTATAGTGAAGCCTGTACTTCCAGCATTTTATGCGTCATCGAAAATGATATTTAACCTTCTTGTTTGTATCAAGAAATGCAGCCGATTCTCTCACTCTTCCGTTAGCAATTCCTGGTGAAAATTTGAGCTGTTTCTGTGATGGCACGGTCATTGGAGAAGGTGTGCTCATGTCTTCAGCTAAATGTTTCGTTGAACTCGGAGGGGTTCCCTATACCAACATTTTATTTTGTATGCGTTATTTCGCTATCCAAAACGAAAGTAAAAACTGAAGTATGGATAAAATAAGATAGGTGGCAAATATTTTACAAGTGGAGATGAGGTAACTGCTTGCTCCCTTAATTTAAGCTCCTTTTCTACTTCTTTCCTTCTCAGCTCACTCTGCCTAAGAAGGCCAACAATTTCTTTGAACTGATCTTTCATTTCTTTTATTTCTACATCTTTCTCCCATAATTGGCACCTGCATGAGCATATAAGAAAAGAAAAAGACATTAAAATCTTGACTGGAGACTAACTGTATTTCAATGTTGGAGGTGTATCACTTGGAAACTAGAAGCACCTTGTCTCTGCAAGAGAGTTGAACATATATTGAAGCAAGTTCTTCGCTTCTCCCATTGATCGTAGCTGGTTCCAGCGGCCACGGTTTGTAAAAGCGCGTTCTCGTTCTTCTGCCTCAGAAAGTTGTGATGCCATCGCTACCAGAGAGTTTGAAGATATCCCGAGCATATTCTCAAGTGAAGATATTCGAGCCATCCTTGCATTAGGTGACAATGATGATGCCCTGAAACAAAAGTTGTACATAAGGACCGGGCCAAAAGAGAATGAAAACTCATGTGAAAGAAAAGTACCTAGCAAAGCCATTCTTTCCTCTTGGAGGACTTAAGCCTTTCACTGCAAACTCATCCACTTGTCTTAACACAGCCAACTCTTCCGCTAGAGCAGCTCGTCTGAAATTATCACCACATGCATAATCAGTAACCACAAGTCTTTGTGACGGTAAAATTATTGCAAAAGTTTAGGGCATTCGGGACATACACATGGCTTTGTTTCTCGTACTCATGGCGTACTTCATGCACATTCACCATGACTTCCAATTCATGATCAAGCCAACGCTGCAACGACTTCTCATTGGTCTAAAAAAGAGTAAGAATTGAATTAGATTTTCTCAATAGTCACAATGATACAAACTAGAAAATATTAAAGAAAAAAAGGAGCAGTGTCAATCCGCACCTGACCATTTGTTCCAAAGCCATTTGTACCAGCTGCATAAATAGTGTTTTACTTAGAATTTCAATAAGCAGAAAAGAAGATATGAAATAACCATCTTATTTCTTTAAATACGAGTATAACCCCTGCAGGCTCTATGTATCAACTACTTTACATGCATTTTCCCACAGGCTATGAAAATGTATCACAACAATCAGCTAATTATTCAGTGACAAGATTCCAGTTAAGTGTTCACAATTGTTCAAACGCAAAACATTATTAATCATTCATACCTGAATGTTCACGAGGAGAAGATTTCCGAGCTTCTAACAACTCTTTCAACCTCTTGGTAGCCATTGCAGCCTCCTCTGTCTTCCTCTGAAGAACCTAAGAGTGCAAATTTTCCTTAATTTCACAGCTGTATCTTCTTCTTTTTTTTCTTTTTCTATTTTATGATTTCTTAGAGACCATGGACGTACTCAAGGTCCAAATGCTAAGGATCTTGTGCTTACCATTTTCTGGCGCTGATTTAAAGCTTGCAGCTTATGCCTTTCATACTCGCTCTTTCTCCCTTCTTTCCGTAACTGTGTTGGGCAGTGAAAGTTAGATTTAAAGGTACAGTCAGAATCTAAGTTCATTTGAGAGAAGACTTATTGCGGAAGAAGATATCAACGCAAGGACTTAAGTAAGAAAGAAATGGTACCTGCAAAAGTTCCTTCTCACGGGAGGCTTTCCACTGTCGAAACTGTTCTGCTTCTTGTTTCATTCTGTGCTGCAGCTGAACCTAGAAAGCCAAGGAAGAGAATTAAACAAAAGAACTCTCAAACAGAAGATGTGATATGAGTCTTTATGCAAAAAAAAAATGTATCATATTTCTTATACCTTTTGTGCCTTGATGGATTGGATTTCGTCCTGTAACCTCCGAGCCGCGTCATCACTCTTTTGTTTCTGCTTCAGTAGCTGAACCTGGCTCTCTTGCTTTTTCTTAAGGTCTTGAATCTGTGCTTCAAGCGATTTCAAATTCTGAGCATGCACATCTTGCAACTTCTGGGCTTGACCATCAGAAGCAAGGTTCTCAATTTCAGCCAACAAACGGTTTCTCTCTTCCTGAAAGTTACAAAGAAACAGTTCAGCAAAATGTTTATTCTTTTTCCTACTGAAACTTCCACTTGAGCGCCAATGCAAAATATATCTCACCTGAACAGATCTCTTTTCATCTTCCACCTCCGCAATTTTCTTTCCAAAATGTAGCTTTAGCGCAGCCGGATCATATCCGTCAAAAAGCTTCATTTCAGACTGTTTCATACATGGACTATGTAGTTATGGACAAGAACAAATCTCAAACCCCCTAAGAAATTTCAGTGCATAAAAAATAAACAAGCAAAAGAGACCTCTTTTTCCTCTAGACGGCGGTTCAGTTCATGCAACTCTTTGTCCATACTATTTTGCAAGAGCTTGTGCTCCCACTCCTTTGCCTCTTCGTCTACTTCCCTAGAATCACCTGCATATAAAATGTCTTGAATAACATTGCCCTCTTCTAGTTTCATAACTCTTTTGAATCTTTCTTTTACCTATAGTGGCTTCAACCATGGGATAATTGGACGACTCTATACTGTGCAAGCTCCTTTTCAGCCCATCGGGTCTGACAGAACCAACCATTTCATCCTGCCACCAAGAAAATTCAACATTTCATAACAATAACAAAGATAGAAATGATATCCAAAAAAAAAACATTAGTAAGTATAATACAGCTTGTATGTCTTTAAAGTCCTTTTCAGAATGCTCTACACCGCCACATCTGCTTCGGTATTCATGAAGTTCGCGGGAAAGGTCTTCATTAGCAGTTTCAAGCCAAGCAATCCTTTCCTTGAGAACCTACATCATCACACTCACTCTTAGCCTTCATACTCCACAACATTTTCTTAATTTTTCCAATGTAAAAGCACACACTAAGGTGAACATGCCTGGAGTTCTGCACATGAGGATCCTCCATTCCGTAAGGAGAGCTCTGCCTGCAAGTATTCTAGCTGTTGGCGCATTTTTAGCATCTCACTGGACACAGGATCTCTATTAACCTGTTTGGAAAAGAATCAAATATAGAAAGAGTAAGTTAGAGTGATATAATTTCAGTCAGTAATTAGTTTCTTCTTTTGATATATATATTTCGGATTAGCTTCTTACAACAGGCTTATTCCGGATGTTTCGAGCACGGTTTGCATATTTCAGAGTGTTAAGTGTTTCCTCAGCATTAATATCTGCAGGACTGATGCAAGCTGGAAACCAAATAGGAAAGAAATTTAAAAAAGCATTAACCAAAAGTGGAAAAGGCTTAAAGCAGAACTTTCTCAGAACAAATATATGAGAAAACCTGAAGGTTACCTATCATCACAGTTCTGCTGTTGCCCCCAAGGGAATCCTAAAAAATTAACATTTAAAACTTTTGAGAAAGGAGCAAACACTGAACAATGTCATATCAAGAAATGTGAAAGAAAAAAAATATACCTGCAAAAGCCGTGTAAGCTTACTGTCTCTGTAAGGAACATGAGCACCGTCTTTACGCTTTTTCTCATCTCCAAGCGCACTGATGACATTACCAAGCGCAAGGAGACCTTTATTTATGTGTACTCCTGGTGAAAAAGAATCAACTTCCATTACAACACAGTGATCAAAAGGCTAATTACTGATCTAAAAACAAGACAAAGTGCAACAGAAAAACACTTACCTTCTTTAAATCTCATACCGTCAGAACCAGTTCTTTTGGCTCGTTCTGAACCAGCGAGGTCTACTAGGTGCAACTTGGCACACAGATATTCTTCTTTCAAGCTCCCATTGTAAGGACCGTTTTCAGGAGATTCTGTATTAATTTTGCGCATTTGCTCCACAGTTATAGTGAAAATGGCATGTGAACGACTGCATGTTGATAGTAGAAAGAAACACAAGATTATAACACAAGATTATACAAAGAAATGAATCTTGAGTTGTACAAAGAACTAATGATCACACAAGATTATAGCTCACCTGGACTGATTGTTCATGTTAGTACTACCGGTAGCCCTGCTAACTGACCCTTGGTCAAGGCAAGCAGCCATCTCTTTGAGAGTAGTGACGCTTACTTCCGTTGATCCTGCTAATGTGATAACACCGTTTGATGTTTCTCGGATCTGTATCGGTGGCTTCCCGGGGACATGTGCTACCTTGCCTACCTCTGATTTGTTGTTAATAATGGAAGGATCAAGCAAATCTTGCACTTCTTCTTTATGAATCTATCAAATCAAAAATTCATCAATGGTCAGGTTACAAAACACTCAAAGAACAACAAAAAAGAAACAAACCGCGAAATTTCAGGGTTTTAAAAGAACCTCGATAAAAGAAACGTGGATCTGAAACTCGATGTGCTCCTTGAGAGTCTCAATCTTGCTGAAAAGAGAGTTCATAACTTGAGGGACTATTCCGGTTTGGCTGCTGTCTCCGCAGCCAGTACCCATTGTGTATGTTTTACCGGAACCAGTCTGCCATTTTTGTGATACAACAAACAAAGTCAAAAAAGCCATGAAAGGAAAAAGAAAAATAATGAAACAGAGATTTCAAAGACCAAGTCCAGTGAGTGATGATCCCTATTATTATTATTACCTGTCCATAAGCAAGAACGGTAGCATTGTAGCCTTGAAATAAGCCGTCAACGAGCGGAGCAGCACAGTCTTCATACATTGCAGTAGATGGAGAACCAGAGCTTCCATATACATGATCGAAAGTAAAAGAATGTGATCCAATTTGTACCTGCATCAATCATATTCACAAAAAGAAATCTTTTGATGACTATTACATTCAATTTATTCGCTTTACACAAAATTTCCAACAAACAAGTAAAAGCATTACAGATTGTAAAACACAATTCCCATTACTTCCTTCTTCAAATCACATATCGAGCAATTTATTCCATCCAAATTTTTAGACTTTTTTTTTGCCGGAAGAGTCTCAGTCAAAAAAATTTGATCTTTTGAGCAAATTAATTAAGGAAATAATTTAAGATGCAATATTGTCCTAAAAAACAGAAGTGACTAAGTCAAACATGCATAAGAAAGAAAAATAAAAATCAGTGATACTAAACGTCGCAAGATCTAGATCTCAGGGAGACAATTCCGCTAATAAGAAAAGCTAATCAGTTAGAATAATTTTAGAAAGAGAAAGAGATTCTTCTTCAAAGTCCAGATTACAAACAGACAAGAGAGCTTTTTCACATTGTCGAAACTAAAAGAAAGCAAACTGTACCTGCGGTTTACCAGAAACGACAGTGACACAATCTTTACAACCTTGAATCCGTTCGTCGCCGATGAGCGGTCTGATGTGGACAGCAACTTTAACAGAACAATCATCAGGTGACGCGGATTCCATTGATGAAAGATGAAGAAGAAGTGATCTGGAAATCGAAAGAGAGAGAGTGAAGCAGGAAGAAGAAGAAGAGGAAGAAGAAGAAAGGGTGAGAGTTGCAGCAGACAAATGTTGGTTTGATGATGTGTGTTGTTTTGGAGAGAGAGAGGAAAAAGGAAGAGGGGTAGAAATGGAATATAGAAGGATAAAAAAAGATTTGGCGAGAGAGAGCTTAACTGCAACGACAATAACCTTCTTTTTATCTTCCCTTAGGCTTCACTCTTTACTTACTGTCTCTCTGACCAAAACGGACCGACGTGACTTTACTTTCACTCTTTCCCGTTTTAACCTTTTCTTCTTTCTTTCCTTTCCTTTCTCTGGGAGAATGAGTCTCTGACATAAAGTGGTGGCGAAAAATGAGATCAATATGGTTTTTTTTTACTTTATTGCATGTGCCATTGGCTCTTTTAATAGTGGGTTGTCTATGTGTCTAAACTATCTACATGTAGTACATACCACAATGATTCTAGTGATTTATTACACAAGTGGTTTAGTTCATTCCGGTAAAGAGTCGGATAATGCAGATAACGAATAAAATACATGTAAAAAGTTGGTTTCACGTTCATGTATTTCAAATAATGTGGATTTTTTGAGATGGAAAAATCGGATAATATTTTTGGAAATTTTCAATAATCTTGAGTAATTTTAAGCAGGGCCGGATTTGGGAACAGCCTCATGAAACATTCGCCTACAGCCCCCAAAATTTTCCTTAAGTTATATGCAAATTTTTTGGCCCCCAAATTACAAAAAAAAAATTTTGTTCTTAAATTGTCTATAGTCCCCAAATTCTCAGATTCGGCCCTGATTTTAAGAACGGTAATTTATACATGTCTACTTTTTATTTTTTTTGTGTGCAACCACACATGTCTTAACTTTTGAGTAGTGGGGTTGTATCATTGTAGTATATATCTAACTATCTACGGACAATTGTACATACTAATGATTGTAGTTATTTATTACATGAGGAGTTTTATGGTTTGGTTTGGAGTTAGATTTTTTTGGGCACAGAAAGGGCAATTATGTGTTCACCTAAAAACTTCAACTACACTTGTGGCTCGCTGTAAGTATTGACTTTTGTCTTCCTTAATTTTGCCGGCTTTGCTTCAATCACCAACCTTCTATGTATAGGTGTTTATGTTTAACAAATCTAAGACCGACGCATTGGTTTAAAGGTTTACATCCAATCTACATTTGTTTATAGTCAGTTTGGTGTTTAGATATTCTTAGATAAGAAGACACACATGCACCGCCAAAAAAATGGGTTGGTATGACGTTGACGTAATCCTGAAGCAAAGACGGCCATGGTATATTATATATTGAGCAGAGAACACCAAAGTTATCATCACTTCAACGATATTAGTGAATGGCTAAAAGAGAAATTAAAAATGTTAGATGTAATAGGTAAACAAATAGTGAATGCAAAACCTTAACATCAAACCCAAATTTCTTGTAGTGGACACAATCGTTGACAAAAAGGGATCATATTTTTCTTGAAAGTTTAATGCGCAGAATAATAGTAAATAAATTTAGAAGAGAAAAAAAAAAAGCAAAAGAAGACTTTTAGGGAAGGGTCCACAAGGAGAGACAATGCGAGCTGGCGGAGGAATCGTGGTCACGTGGCTGTAGCGATGGGGTCCCAAAAGTATAGGCTTTATGGGCAAGTCACTGCCCCAACGAGCCTTTCCTCATTCCCACTCTCTTTCTTTCTTTCTTTCCCCATTTCAACAAATATTTCATCGACTGTCTTTTTCATTAGGAACGTTGGGTTGTGTATTATTCTCTAATACATCGGTTTGTTAGTAGCGGACGGACAAGTGTCGCAACATGATGTAATTACTACATAAAAAGTACTAGTAATTAATGGATATATATTATTGTCGACTTGACTTCTATCGAATTGTTGAATTTGCTAGTTAATGGGTTAAAAACAGAGTAATTAATGAATATTTTCGACTTCTATGGGATTGTTGAATTTGTTCGTTGTGTAGAATTACCTCAATAAGGCTGAGTTGCCAATATTCATAAGAAAAGTTTGGTTCATGAAGTTGAAGATTTATGTGCAACCTCCTTATGACTAATTCAGTTTTGTGATACTAATCAACTATGGTAATCATTTCAAATATGCTAAATTCGGTTTGGCAAAATAAATAATTAACAAGAAAGGATCCAATTAAGCTTTGCTAATCTCCTTTGAATTGGTTACTAAATATAAGCTCGTAAAAAAATTTGGCATAGCATTTTAACAAATACCTTATGTGGATGGCCAAGTCGAATCTTGCATTAGTTGAAGTTAATATAAAATATCTAACAAGAAGCAAATCTAATTAATAATCATCATTCAATGATCAATTCATCATATATCAAATCCTAGTTCATGATCTAAGTAAAAGGACTATTCACTTCATATGATGAATGATGAAGAACAATGCATATAAAAATGAAAGACATGTAGTTAACAAATATTCTCTATTTGTTAAGCATAGGTTGAAATACATAGAAAGAAATTTTAAGCAGAATTAAAGTAAGGATGAAAGAGATTCAAAGCATAATCTTTAAACACTCTAAAAATGTTATTCGTAGGAGAAGAATTGAATCAGAATTCTGATCAGATCATACTTAAAACAAGGCAAATGGCTCTTATGTGAGTGGTATGCAGCTTGGTACTTGGTCTGAGACTCAATGACTAGGATTCAGAAACACTTAGTGTCTTCACGTATCATGGGAACTGGACCGTGGTTGTATACCGCACGACTTGTGCCTTTCGAGACAAAATGAGAATTTTTTCAGCAAGGTCAACTATTACTGAGCCAAAATGCAATAAAAGGCTTGGTTTTTGCATATTACAAAAAAAAAAAAAAACAAACCCCTTTATCGAAAGTCGGAACCTTTAACGACGAACCGGCGACGTGATTCTCAGATCGACGGGCAAGAATCTCCGCCGCGGATTTAACCTTCCATTGAAAATTCCTCTGCCGCAACACTCGGAGATGACTTCTACTAGCGGTGCGAAGATCTCAATGTTTGGTGCCAAGTCTGGATTCGTTATCCCTAAAAACAAGTTATCTGGATCATTGATCCCGATTTTTCAACGTGGGAAATCCCTGGGAGGTGCCGATACTGGTAATGGAGTGCTCGCGAAGCTCGGGAAGCGGAAGACTAAATGGGGACCTGATTTGACACAAGATACTGCAGTCAAGAAGTGTAGAGCTTTAGCTTATCAGGTATTCTTCAAGGCTTTTCATGTACTTTAGGTTTAATGTTTGAATCCATCAATTGAGAAGTCGGAGGAGCATCACAGGTTTAATCTTGAGTAGAAACGTGTTCCTGTGTGTTTTGATTTTGAGTAGAAACGCTTGGACCAAATTACACAGCAATTGGAATCGGGAACTCTTGAAGCCGAGACTAGCAGAGAGTCAGCTTTAGCTTCACAGAAAAGGTCACTGGCTTACCAGAACAACACTGATGTAAGTGATTTTCATCAGCTTTTCTTCTTCATTTCGATTCTTTAGCTACTTAAAGCTCAATGTCTTGTTTGTGTTTATGTATCAAGATTGCTGAACATCTGGAGTTAGAAAAACGTGAAGCGATTGGTATGTTGAAATTTCCTCATTCCATCTTCACAGTCGCTTTCCCTTGAGTGATATGTAGCTTCTTCAATTCTAGGGGAGATACTTGAGTTGAATCCGAGGTACAAGGCTCCACCTGATTATAAGCCATTGCTGAAAGAGGCTAGATTGCCGATCAATGTAAGTGCTTACTTGGTTAAAGGTTAAAGCTTTATCAAATCTCGCATTTGTTTTCTCATGTTAAGTATTACCTTTTTACCTCACAGAAGCTAGAAAGTCTTGTAGTTTGTTGTAGAGTGGCTCATGCAGTATCTTGAGAAAGTTATTGATTTTGTTTAATTCCAAGTAAAGAATGGAAAACTAGTACAAATCCTTTTAATGACCTTTATTTATTCTCACACCATTTTTTCCGTATCACTTGCGGATTTGATATATAATGCTGCTTCAAACAGTACACCATCTTTTGGATTCTGTTTTCTTGGAATCATGTAACAACTCAGCTTTTCAAAGCTAATATTGTATGGACCTGTGCTTTTGCAGGTCAAAGAACATTCTGATTTTAGCTTTTTAAGTTTCATATTTGGTTCCCAAGGTGATACTCAGAAGCGGCTCGAAAAAGTAAGTCACCTACAAATGCCCTTGTTGCTAGTTGCAGTTACAGTTCCTTATCTACCTTGAGTTAACGTCCTCTGAGTCTCTTTCTCACATTTCCTCCTTTCTTCAAACGCAAATTGATTACCTTTCAATCCGATTCTGTATTAAAGCTAACTACTTTCATAATGGGAACAGGAGACTGGAGCCAAAGTACAAATTTTTGGTACTAAAACAGGAGGAGAGGAGGTAAATATTGGAATATAGTCATAAACTATCATCGAGATAACCATAACAGACTCTTATTATTGTTGCTCTGCCTCTCCGTGCTGATTCTTGTAAATTCTCAGTATTCTTATTGAAAGGGTTTTTCTAATCAGATTTTTCTTCATGTGTGCAGGTTGAACTCTCACCTTCAGATGAAAATGAGTTCAAGATGTCCTGGCAAGAGTTATATTTTCAGATATCATCTGACACTTACGAAAAAGTGGATGCAGCTATTGCTGTAATTGAGCTGCTTATCACTTCAGTGTCTGTGAGTTCCTTAAATCTCTCCATAAAAGAGTTAAAAGATGATTAGCATTTGTTATTTAAAGTCTCAGTTTTCCAAATGATTAGATTATATAATTTTGTCATGTAGGGAAATACAGGAGCTGGTACTGCTCCTCCACCGTCCAGATCTGAAGGCATTTCAACCATTCCAGGCGACAGCAACGTGACTGCTACAGATCCAAGGCCTGAACAGCCAACTGATAGCTCTGTACAACCTCCACAAAGCCAATTCCAAGAGCATGGTTCTTCTTTTCCATTGGCTTCAAATCAAGTTCCATTTTATCCACCTATTAATCCCCCTGCCCCAAGTCTTGGTAGTCATATCCAGGATCAACAACTGCCAACCAATTCTATGAACCCCAATCCTCTCTTTGCTCAGCAACCACTTCCAACTTCTCATAACACATCACTACATCCTGATGCTCAAGTCCCTCGTCCACCAGATTTGTTCTCTTTTAACCTTTCCAGCACACCAAGGCCCTACTCCCTGGTTGCCCCACAAGGATCGTTAGCTCAACCGGGTTTTTCGACTGTTCCTCCATATTCTGGCAGCCAGATACAACCAATAGGACCACGATCTACGATGAGGCCGTCGACAGTATTGACTTTCCAACCTACACCTAGCAGTGTATTTAGACCAACGCCACTGCCAGACATAGTCTCAAGCAACATGTCCCAACCAGCACGGCCTCTGGCTCCTAACTTCAGTGCACATCCCGTAGCTCATCAGCCAGGTACTGAACTTCCATCAGTCCCCTTTTCCTCGAGTATCAATCTGAAACATCTAACAGAATATGCTTCTGATGGTCCTCTGCGTCCCATGTCAGTGTCAGCGCATATTGCTGGCAGGCCTGCTGGTCCTATTCCTTCTTATTCTTCCATAAACCCTCCCGCAAATACAGCTCCTAGGCCGTTTCAAGGGGATTTCGGCTTCCTTCCACAACAACAGATATCTCCTAGACCCAGCTTTCAATCAGCTCATCTCCCTCACCTGGCATTTCAAGCACCATCCGTCACTCCACCCTCTCAACATTTTGGGCAAAACTTCGCAAGATCACAGCACTTTGGCAGGCAGATGGATCAACCCCTGAGCCACCCGCCTGCACTATTTCATGGTAACGTGAGATCTTCCAACTTGCAGAACTTTGGACCTCCATTGCCCCAGATGAGGCCTAGGAACTTCCCTGGAACTCAGTTCCCGCAGCATTCTGCTCATTTCCCTCCAAGACCAGTGTTTCATGATGATAACCTGAACCCAAGTGGCCAACCACAGATTCGCCACCGGTTCAACGCTGGTGTGCATCAAGTATATGACCCTTTTTCACCTAGTGACGCTTAACGCATTAGTGTTTTCATTATTGTGGTAAAGATATAACATTGGTGGATTGAATTTTCCCCTCAGAATTTTTCAAAGCAAAAGTTTGCCATTTTCCATGTATAAATACAATAGCATTAGCTGCATTTGTCTTTTGAGAAAATTCTGTCAGCCACTATTTTGTGTTTTTTTGGGTGATTTGATGGCTTGCAGAGTTACGTTGAACATGGCCTGACTTAAACAATCCTCGGTATAAATCCTTGCGTGCAAATAATTTAGAAACTTATGTCTACCTTAAAACGATTTTTAACAATGATAATAGTCTATGCTTGGCGAGAAACAAACACTTTCATAAAGTCAAAAGATGGTCGAGTATGTACAGATTTTGGAATTTGACACATAGTAGTAGATCACTCTCTGAGTAGCAGGGGGTTCAAATGTTGGGGCCTGACCTAAGAACCTTTTCCAGCTTCTCGGCCTTAAGGTAATCATTCTCTGTAAGCGGGCCGGCTGGAAAAGGTGTGATCTCAACCACCAAATGTGGCGTCGGTAACTCATCAAACAGAGCTCTTACGTTGTTGCAACATACGCTTTGACCGTGTGCACTCTCCCGCCGTATTTGACAACCCTGCAGCCAGTGTCTCAATTTGGTTCTTATACCGAACGCAGAGAGAGAAACAAGTGAATTATCATAGATGTGTGTTTTTTTTAACCTTGTGAGAGGTTGCATCTCTAAAGTGGTCATCATCTGAGAGAAGAGACGCAATGGATTTAAGCAGACGGTTTCCTTCGCCTTTGGAAGGTACCCTGTAGTTCCTTCTAAGCGTTCCCTTTGTCGTCGGGTGCCATTTGCTCACCAGCTTCCTCTTATCAGCTGCATCTTTTCCTGAGCATATACAATAAAATAAAGAAATCTGTCTCATACTCAACATTTAGGCTGGATAGAATCAGGCATTCTCTTACTTAATTAAATAACGAAACTGAAACTACAGCTGAATTTACAGATCACACAAGAGTAGAAGTTGGAACAAATTCAAATGCCAGTGATTTGAGCTTGAGAAGTGCAGCTCTGCTTCAGGTTTATTAGAAGAATAGAGGTCAAGAGAGGATGAACAAAATCAAGCTTAATCGTAGAGCAAGAGTGAAAAAAAAAAGGAGATAGCCCGGTTCCAGAAAGACGAGCCAAGGTTAAAACTTTGAGATTCTGTGATTCACACTTATATATACAACTTGTACAGTTCAAGCATAAACAACCGGTATATTTTTTACTAAACCATTGACAAAATCATCTCCATATCAAAAAGATTTATAGAGGTTATATTTCATTGTTTAGAACTGGATCATAAAGCTCTAGACTTGGACACAGACCCTATATGACAGAATGAGTCACAGACTCACAAGTGTTGAAACGAACCTGGTTTGCCCTTAATGTTAAGCCACTTTGAGAAACCAAGATCCGCACCATCATCATCAACATCAACACCACCACTTTCAAAACCTGAGATTGCCCAAGAAGATCAAACCAAATCGAAAGATAGAACATTTAAAGAACCCAAGAGAAACTCAGTCAAATGGATTAACCAGAAACGATGGGGTTAGACTTGGATCCAGCTAAACCAGCTTTGACGAGAGCGTAGAAGACACAAATTCGACCAGCCCATAAGACAGGGCTCTCAAGCAAGGAAGCACGCGCAGACCCATCTGAGACTTTCTTCGTGGAATGGAAAATCCGGTGGAGGGTCAACTTGGAATCAGGAAAGATGGACTTTTGAAGAAGTAAACCAGAGGGCTTGAAGAGAGAAGGGATCGTTGATTGGGATTTGAAGTAGGACACTGAAGCTGCTTGAACCAGTGAGAGTGGCATTGCTTCTTGTTTTCGGCGGCTGAACGGAAAATTTTATCGGTAAGACTTTGGGACTATTTTGCGTAGAGTGGAAGTGGATCAAGTTGAAGCGACGACGTCTCGCCTCCTAGTCAAGTCAAAGTTATCTCTTTTCTTATTGATGCTTATCGAGATCATAGTTTCTAGTAGATATTTTGTCCCCTGCATATGCGCGGATTGGAGGAAATAAATATATAGATATGAGTATATCTCAAATGTGCAAGTTTTTTTTGCAAAACGACCTCCAGTTTCGCCGATTTTTGACAAATTTCATGTTATTTTGTTTTGCTAAACATACTACTCCACCACGTTTTTTTTTTTAAAACGTGCGATTAAATGCACTATGTATTTAGGAAGAACGCCACTGGAGAATTTCGCCATCTTTCGCTTTACAGGATTGTGTCTGTAGTATACAACTTTTATATCGTCGGAATGTGGTGGTGATCTTACAATGACTCTGCATACATTATGGTAAGGTTTGGCCAAGCAGAGAGCTAATCCAGACTGAATTCCTCAAGCCATATGATAACTTCGTTCCTCTGCAAATGAAAGGCAATTAAACAGATAACAGCTTAGAGCCACGACTTTAGTAAATGATCAGTAACGATCATTTGGGTGTGTCATGAATCATGATGATAATACTGACATGACACAAATAAGAGTAACGGATGGTTTCTAACTAGACGTCAAATATATATATACTAGAGCTCGAAATCTTACCATTATGAAGCTCCATGTCCTTCCTGGATCATTGTAACGAGCAAGCATACAACCCACCTTAGCTCTAAGACCATCTTTACTAAGGCTTTTCCTCAGTTCATTCTCTTTTGCGCGGACAACATCCTCTGTCGGTTTCCCACTGAATTTCACTGCCGCAGCAAAACCGCCTTCCGACTTCTTCAAGTTTATCTTTTCTTCATTAGGCATCGGTAAGCTACAAGTAAGGGCAAAAAACAAAAACCCCTTTTACTCAAGTCAGTCCCAATTTCATCACTGTGTAATGTCTAATGATGATAAGCTTTACCTGCTGAGATCTTTTCCTGACGGAATGACAATTTGTACTGACACGGAAGAGAGTTCAGCGTCTGTTGCTTGGGTAAACACTGGAGTTGTCATTGGTATTTTCTCCATCCTCGAGTTTTTGCCAAATATGTACCTTCAAAGGTAACATTTTTCACATTTATCACAACAATGCCAGAAGAAATTTATGGACTTGAAAAAAAAATAGCCTCAACACTCACCCAGCGACATTGTTGAAACCTGAAGAGCCCGAAAGCTTGTCACCGTTTGTCTCCACAACTATGAAAGGTTCGTACTTTCTGACCTGCCAAACAATTGAATCGAATTTCAGGCCGAGCATCATGCTTTCCCATTTTTACAGGAACATTTGTGCATTTTGGTACACTACGCCAATACTTTTAAGCAACAGGAAGATATATGACCTCATAGTTTGCTGTTCTTTTCAGTATTTGATACTTTGGAGTTTCCAAATCAGGCGTTTTATATAACCGTAACTGCAAAAAAAGAAGAGAGTAAAGCTATAGCTCGCTTGTAAGAAAGATGATTAACCATTTTAAAAAGAGGCTCTCAATTCAAGCCAAGAAAGCAATTGAGACAAGCCACCTGCTTAAATACATCAACAAGACCTTCTAGAGAAAAGTAGTCATTGTTATTGATCGAGTCCCACAAGTCCTGCACATCAAGTTGCAATAAGTAGACCGCACCAAAAGCGATTTCACAAGGAAAATGGATAAGATCAAGACATGCCAAAACCATACCAGATGGCTGCAAAATTTCTTAGTTTCTGGATTAACAGCCATGATTGATGTCCCTGTGAACACAAGCTCTGGTTTCCACGGTAAAAGCGAGAAGTTCATCACCATAGTCCATCTTGTGGTTATCTCGTATGGACCTGTCTATAGCAGTCTAGCATTATGGTTTATGACTTATGGTAGCAAAAGCATAGAGTTTGTATCAAATGTGTAAACAAGTAGTTAAAGTGATTGTTAATCAGTTAGTTAGACGGCTTAACTTTTAATTCCTCTGTATATAAACAAGTAAACAACTCCTCTGTTTCTAATTACCAGTGAGAAAGAGTTCAAAGTGTTCAGAATCAAGCCTTCAGGGAATCATACCTCAAGAGGTGTATTAAAGTGTTCAACTTTGCATCAGAATCAATAGACTAAAAACAAATGAGAGAAGCAAATCTCGAAAAAAGTTAAAGTTGAGAAATTAGCAAAGACCTGTTTTGCCCAGTGAAGTTGAAAATCAGGAGTGAACACATTTTTCAAGAGAGAAATGTTGAAGAGATATCCAGATATAGTGTCGTGCTTGGTGATGGGGTCCCTGAACTTCACGCGCTCATCGTAAGCCGTCCGATCAATTCCCTGGTCGTCGAAAAGGTGAGGAAGATCCTTGTACAGGAACCCAACGAGCTGTTCCATATCGACCGTCGACGAAGGCGTTTCGTTGCCCACCTGTAGACTCATCATACTCGGCCGCAGCCGCCGCCGCGGGACAGGAAGAAAACGGGCGGCTACATGCCTCCGGCAATTACTACCAACGGCGGTGAGGACTGGCCGGTAGAAGTGACCGGAGAGCTGACCAGCGGTAGCCATAGATCTCTTGATAAAAGATTATGGTCTCTCCGTGGTGAGATAAAAATAAAAAAATAAAAATAAGTCTTTTCTTATTCTCCGTTATATCAAGGTTTCATTTCAAAAAGCCCCCTCAAAATAATTAATATTTGTAACTCTACCATATATTTCCCAAAAAAAAATAAGGGAACCACCATGGCACCATCTACCCAATATCCGGAATATTATATGACTTGGACAAGGACAATAACAAAATTTTATAACTAATACTGTGCGACACTTCTAGGCATCTAATTTTCATATTAAATATTACAATATAATTTTATTCAGTCAATAATTATCTTCTTAAAAAAAAAAAAACAATTCTTCAAGATTTGTGATCATGAGCATGAACAAGTCTAGAGACTGGCCTCCACTGTTCTCTATACATAATTAATATATGTTTACGTACGTTTTAGCACACGATGACAATATTGATCAAATAATACTATATTTATTTTAAAAAATATATATATTCTTCCAATATAACCTTCTAAAATGTTGCAATTACTATTGAAAATAAATATTTATTTTTCCCTATTTTAATAGCATTCTATTTTTTTCTGTAGTTCTTAAAGTTTATTAATGTTACGTTCCATTTAATTTGTATAATTTACTACTATATTTTTGTAATAAGTATTTTTCTACTTATAATCATCAATAATTTATTAAAAAATACTTTAAGTTATTACACATTATGTCTTTTTCAATCTCTTTTAAAATATGTTTTTCAATATTCTTTACTGTGCATGTATTTCTAGTATATTTTAAAATCTTTGTTTTTTTGTTAGTGAAAATTGAAATATAAAAAAATCTGTATAGATGCATGTACGTATAACGTATCCCCAAGTATATATTAACCCTTGATCCGTGAATTCGTTGCGTATATAGGATAATTAAAAACTTAAACTAGAATATTATTACGCAGATTAAAGTAAAGCTAGAAATAAGAAAAATCCAAGGAATTCGTTATTGCAAGAGCCTTACTCACATATGCATACTTTACGTTATTTCTCTATATGTATGCATGTATGTAGACAAATGTTTAATTTCAGTGAGGTAGAGAATCTGTTTGAAGATTTGGTAAATTCATTTATGAGATATTGTCCAAAAATAGGAATCGATGTAACAAGTGGCAAAAATAAACCTAGACACAAGTGTCATCAGAATCCACACCTGTTTATTCATAAAATTTCAAGATTCTGGCATTCAATGTATTACGCTCAGAAGAGGAACATATCATTTTAGTTTTTTTTTTTTAAAAAGAACTTGTCATTTGCATATGTATATGTGCAGATATAACAGCCAAATCAAAATATAATCTACTGTCCAAAAAGTTTCAATGGCAAAGTTGGCTTCTATTACATAGTACTAAGAACAGAGTTGAGAGAGAGAATAAACAAAGAAAGGGCTGAAAAAGAGAGTAGAAGCGATGGCACATTACAGAGCAAGCTCAGAGGTCGAGAACTTGATGAACGAAAGAAGCAGTAGTCGCCGGGAAAAAGAAGAAGAGGAAGAGGAAGCCATGAAATGGGCGGCTCTGGAGCAGCTGCAGCGTCTTCCGACGTACGATCGGGCGAGGAAGGCCGTGTTGAGAGGGATCACAGGAGGTTTCAAGGAGATTGACATGAAGGATCTTGGCTTCGTGGAGACAAGAGAGCTGTTTGATAGAGTGATGGCCATGGATGACGAGGATTGGCATGGAGAGTATCTACGGAGGCTAAAGAGTCGTTTCGATAGGTAAAAAAAGTTTAAACATTTAAAATTGGAAATTTCTGTGTGTAAGATTTGTTAATCTTACCTATTGTCGGTAGCTCAACCGGCATACCCCCAAAGGGGAATAGTCAGAGAGGTCCTGAGTTCGAGCAAATACAGGCAGCAGAAAAGGGACTAATTTAGAATACTCTGGTCCCATCCTAGAAGATTATGGGACCTAGGCCCGGAACTTATTAATTATAAGATTTTAAACTTCTCTTTTATTGTGTCATACAACTATAAACAGAGTATCTCTGAATCTCCCAACGATAGAAGTCCGATTTGAGGATGTGAACGTGACAGCCGAAGCGTATGAAGGCAGCAAAGCTGTTCCCACTGTCATGAACTCATTCTTCAGCGTTGCAAAAGTAAACATCTCGTTCCTCATGAGGTTTCTTGTATAACAAGAAATTTATTTGCAAAGCCAGTTTGTAAGACTGATATTAGTCTATCACTAATCTCACCTAGTTGTCTAATTTCTTTTAGGGTGTTGGAACTAAAATCGGAGTTCTTCGGATTCATAAAAAGAGAATCTCCATTCTAAAGAATGTTAGCGGAATCATCAAGCCCGGCAGGTTCTTCAACTGTCCCAACTATTTGTTCTTTCATTTTTTTTTTTTTTAATGTAAAAATCTGTATTGTGGCAAAATGTTATGGCAAAAGAAATTTATCTGCATCAGACATATCTTATGATGAAAGATCGCATCTAGTGGCAAAATGTTGCATGGCAATTAGAAAAATAGCAATGCAAACAAAATGTATGATATTTCGAAATTTTTTTGGACACTTTTTATCTTCGGGATTGGTATTTTTTTTTCTATAACAACATGCTGTTTCTTATTTGAAAGTCTAACATGTTGTTTTTGTCTTTCATTTACTCTTATAGCTTACAACAATATGCATAAATTCTCATTTGTTTTCTACTTACTATAGGCTGACTCTACTTTTGGGACCACCGTGCTCTGGGAAGTCGACCCTACTTAAAGCATTGTCTGGAAAGATAGAAAGTGGACTAAAAGTAAATTTATACATCAATCTTTATTAAACATTAGAGAATGCTTTAATTAATTGGTTATATAGAATGTAGTTGAAGCAATGATAAGATTGTGTTCTTAATGGTGGTTAGTGTACAGGGAAAGTGACATACAATGGGCATGAACTGCATGAGTTTGTGCCTGAAAGAACTGCTGCCTACATAGGCCAATACGATGTTCACTTGCCAAGACTAACAGTTCGAGAAACATTAAAGTTTTCTGCAAAATGCCAAGGAGTCGGCACACGCTACGGTATGAAAAACATTATCATCTTTCTTCTATTAAGTATCGCTCCAAAGTGTTTATTGACATGGATGGATGAGAACAGATATGCTTGCGGAGTTACTGAGACGGGAGAAAGACTTGAAGATCAAGCCAGATCCTTACCTAGATGCGCTGATGAAGGTACCAAGAGAGATCATTAGGTAGAGAAGTTTCAAAAAAAAAAAAAATTAACAAATGGGGTAGATTATAGGTCGAGACGCAGACTAATCCCTGAGGCCTGTTTCCGTGATCTTATTTACAGGCGTCGGTTATGGAAGGACACAAGGAGAATGTGGTTACAGATTACGTTTTAAAGGTATTAGGACTTGAGACATGTGCTGATACGATCGTTGGGGATAATATGCAAAGAGGCATCTCTGGTGGGCAAAAAAAACGTGTAACAACTGGTACTAATGTGGAAATCCTAAAATATAGTGTTTTCAATAGGAGTTGAAATGTGTTCTGATTGTGATTTGGTGTTTTGTATGTAGGCGAGATGTTGGTCGGACCAGTCGGAGCTTTCTTCATGGATAACATATCAGATGGTTTAGATAGCTCAACGACGTTTCAGATTGTCAAGTGCATCAAGCAAACGATCCATGTTTTCGATAAGACCGCTCTTATCTCTCTTCTCCAGCCTCCTCCAGAGACGTTCGAGCTCTTTGATGATCTCATCATTCTTGGAGAAGGCCGAATCGTATACCAAGGCCCTAGGGAAAACGTTCTCGACTTTTTTGAATGTATGGGGTTTAAGTGTCCTGAAAGAAAAGGCATTGCTGATTACTTGCAAGAAGTGAGTTCTCCAACAACATTTTTAATTGTTTTTAATGAAAACATATACATTACTTTTTTTGATGTACTGATCAAGTTTTTTCAATTAGATTTTATCCAGAAAGGATCAAGAACAATACTGGGCTGATCCAGAGCTGCCATATCATTATGTATCGGCAAAACAATTCGAGGAAGGCTTCAAAACGTACCATCTCGGGAGAACAATGCGGTCTCAGCTCGCAATGCCATTTGATCGATGTAATAATCACGGAGCAGCCTTGACAAGGACTAAATATGGAGCTAGCAAGTTGGAGCTACTAAAGGCATGCTTAGCAAGAGAATATATTCTAATGCAAAGGAACATTAGAATCTTCGGCCTCAAGTCATTTCAGCTCTTTTTCAATGCCCTAATGATCGCAGTCGTGTTTTCGACACAAAGGGAACATCACAACACGATAGAGGATGGAATCATCTACATGGGAGCTATCTATTTGGAAGTGCAAATGATTGTGTTCTCAGGGTTTTTCGAGCTTCCGATGACAATTGATAAGCTTCCCGTGTTCTACAAGCAACGACGTTTCAGCTTTTACCCTTCATGGGCTTTCTCGTTACCAGCCTCAGTCATCAACTTTCCTATATCTTTCGTAGAAGTGTTCGTCGTGCTTTTCATAACTTATTTCGCCATTGGATATGATCCAACCATTACATCGTAAGCTTATGTCTCAACAAGTCAACATTCCATAATTTTTTCTTTGGTCTGTTTACTATTATGTGTGTGTGTGTATGTAAGTGTAACTAACACACTGTGTTAAATCTTTTCTTTGTTACTACAGGATCCTTAAACATTACTTGGTTCTAGCACTGTGTGGACAAATGTCGTATGGATTTTTTCGGTGTATCGCTGCAGTGACTCGGAATCATGTGGTTGCAAACACAATGGGATGTCTTGCTGTGATGTGGCTGATGACATTCAGCGGATATGTGTTGTCCCGACGTAAGTTTTGAGGTTTTTATTGTTATCAAAGAGTCATTTTCTGCGTATGATCGGTAAACTAACTAGTGATGAATTTTTGTAATCTCTGGCGCAGATCAAGTGCACCAATGGTTAACATGGGCGTATTGGACATCGCCATTGATGTATATTCAAACAGCTATTTCGGTTAACGAATTCCGCAGCAATTCCTGGAAAAATGTAATTTATTGGGAAACTCTTTCTTAAGTAGCCAACTTCACATTTTTTCTTGCGGAAACAAAACTTTACTATGTAGTGTACAATCTGCAGGGTCTTGGAGTAGCGGTCTTGAAGGCTCGAGGATTTTTTGTAGAAACTTACTGGTATTGGATTGGAATTTTAGCATTGATCATATCCACATTCTTGTCCAACATTATAACATCTTTGTCTCTGGCTTTTCTTAAACGTGAGTGTCATCACTTCCTCTTTTTGCATCTGTAAATTAGATAATAACCAATTACACAACATCAATTAAATGGAAATTTTTATAACTCTTGTAGAGTATGGAGTATCCAAGGCTGCGGTTTTACCGGTTGAATGCGAAGAAGCTGATAGCAATAATACGCTAATGGGCAGACACACTACAAGAAACAACAGGACGCAACCATTTGACAGTAAGGCCTAAGATATCTTTCACTTTTCATCTCTACTTAATAAGTAATTATGATCCCAAACATAGCTTAAATTTTACAGGGGTGGTAACAAAGAAAACTCGCAAAGACAAAAAACTGCGTATACCTTTCAAGCCATTATATATCACGTTTGAGAACATCACATATTTCGTTGATACTCCAAAGGTAAGTGAAAAACATTTTGTTTTCATTTTCAATAAGAGTTAGTGTATTTGGGAGAGAAACTAAAGAAAGAGAATTTTGTAGGCGATGAAAGAAAATGGGATAAAAGAGGAGAAACTAGTACTACTGAATGGACTAAGTGGTGCTTTTAGGCCCGGGGTTCTTACTGCACTTATGGGCATGAGTGGAGCAGGCAAAACCACTTTGATGGATGTTTTAGCCGGACGCAAGAACACTGGATACATTCAAGGAGACATCAATGTCTCTGGATTCCCTAAAAAGCAGGAGAGCTTTGCTCGTGTTTCTGGATACTGTGAACAATTTGACATCCATTCTCCTCTTTTAACAGTCTATGAGTCCCTTCTTTATTCTGCATGGTTGAGGTTACCCCCTAACATCGACGCAAATACTCGAGAGGTTTGTTGCTTCTTAATTTATGATGATCAATATAATTAACATTCAAGAAACCATATTAACTAACAGAAGTGTGCAGCTCTTTATCGAAGAAGTCATGGAACTGATAGAGTTGGAGCCATTGAAGGAAATGTTGGTCGGTTATGTGGGAATCAGTGGGCTTTCGACGGAGCAAAGAAAGAGAATGACAATCGCGGTAGAGCTTGTTGCCAATCCTTCTATTCTTTTCATGGATGAGCCAACATCTGGCTTGGATGCAAGAGCTGCTGCCATTGTCATGAGGACAGTTAGAAACACTGTTGACACCGGAAGAACTGTTGTCTGCACCATTCATCAGCCGAGTATCGACATTTTTGAATCCTTTGATGAGGTAACTCGCAAAATTTTTATGTTCTTTATGATATTATTTCTTTTACCTTTAGCTATATATGCACTTTAACTTTCATTTTTGTTAGCTTTTCTTGTTGGCTAGGGGAGGAGAAGAGATCTATGTCGGTCCAATTGGCCACCATTCCTCACAACTAATTGAATACTTTGAGGTAACAAAGTAGTGTTATCTGCTCTAAAACCGTCTCATTTTGATTCCTCACAAAAACTTATACGAACATTGTTTTTATAGGGAATTAGAGGAGTAGAAAAAATCAAGGAAGGCTACAATCCAGCAACATGGGCCCTTGAAGTGACAACAAGGACACAGGAAGATATTCTTGGTATCAGATTTGCTCAAGTATACAAAAACTCAAACCTCTACAAGTACGTTGACTTTATATACGTAAGCATTCATACAAAAACATTTAATTTAATCAAAATATATTAATCTCACAAATATTTGTATTGTGTGCATGGAAGCAGGAGAAACAAAGAGCTAATTGAGGAATTGAACAGAGTTCCTCCTCATGAACAAGACATTCATTTCTCAGCAAAGTATTCACAATCCTACCTCACTCAGTTCAAAGCTTGCCTGTGGAAGCAACACAAATCATATTGGAGAAACGTTCCTTACAATGCTGTGCGTCTCTGCTTCGCTGCCGCGGTTGGAGTCATGTATGGAGTCATTTTCTGGAGCCTTGGCAAAAGAAAGGGAACAAGAGAAGATATCTTTAACAGTGTAGGCGCTATGAATATCGTTGTTAGCTTCCTAGGCTCACAAAGTGCATCTACTGTGCGTCCTGTAGCAATCGCTGAGCGTACAGTCTTTTACCGAGAGACCGTTGCTGGCATGTACTCTGCTCTACCTTATGCATTTTCACAGGTAATATTTACACACACTGGCCCTCACTTATTTAGTCCTAAGCTTTGGTTTCTTAAACTTGAACTTGAAACCATTGTTCAAAGGTGGTAATCGAGATTCCATACACAATGGCACAAGCTTGCATCTACGCAGTGATCGTCTATGGGATGATTGGATACGAATGGACAGCTTCCAAATTTTTGCTGTACACATTCTTTACATTCATTGCCATCCTCTACTATATTTACACCGGTATCATGCTCATGGCCGTAAGTCCTAATCAAGAAACCGCTGCGATTCTCAATGGTATCATCTCCACATTCTTGAACGTCTTTTCAGGATTCACCATTCCTCGTCCTGTAAGTAACCAGGCCTAGAAATCAATAGTTTTGTGGAGCCTAGGAATCAAAATCTCTTTCTCTTTAAATAACCACTATATGTAATGGATGTTTTGCAGAGAATGCCGGTGTGGTTGAGGTGGTTCCCTTACGTGAGTCCAGCTTGGTGGGGGTTGTATGGATTGACGATATCTCAATACGGAGATGTGGAGACGAGGCTTGAGACGGGTGAGAAAGTTGTTGACTTCATGAGAAACTATTATGGTTATAAAAACGACTTCTTGTGGCTTGTTTCACTTGTCCTCATTGCTTTCTGTTTGCTATTTGTGTTTATCTATGCTTTCTCGGTTAGGACTCTGAATTTCCAAAAGAGGTGATAAAATTATTACGTCCAAAACCGAAAATTGTACGCTTGTATTAGTTTTGTGATACTAGTAAATCTGCAGTTTTTCAACTTTCACGTCTTAGGAGCAAGAGAGCAAAGTTTTATGACACTTCCCAACATCCAAATTCTCAAATAAAAAAATGCAAAATTTACGAAATTCATACGTCTAGCTTAAGAAACTTGGTGATGATTCCCATCATTTCACCGCCATGGAAACGACCAAGACATCCTCTTGCAGCTGCAATCTCATTCAACTCGGCAACTGAATCTCCACCAAACGCCGGAGGAGCTTCCTTCCTCCCACCGCCTTCCTCTTTTCCGGTGACATCTTCACCAGATTCCACAACCGTTGGAAGTGGAAAAGGGTCCAAAGACGTCTTTAATAGAGCTGCTTCTCCTCCAACCGCTCTCACAAACTCGCTTAACCGGCACATTGTGAATGGGACGGGCTCGAAGCTGTGGTCTCCATACTCAACTGGAGTAGAATGATCACCTGTCACACACAAGAAATACTGGTAATTTGTAGAAGATTCAGCTTGCCATAGAAGCTTAGCGAGCTGACGTATCGCCTTATCCACAGCTTCCAAGCCTCGGACTTTGAACAATGTCGCCTTGTCATGACCAGCATCATCTATAGCCTGCAAGAATTACAAAAAGAAACCATCTGAAAATCAAAAATGGAAATTTTTAAGTTTTGTGTTAAAAGAAGGAAAAAAGTTTTCACCTTTATGTGAAGGAACCCGAAATCATAACCACTTGACCTCCCTGGTTTATGCCCGTCCTCTCCCGGTACAAAGATATTTGGACAGGGATTCAAAGGAGCTGAGAGCGCATTGGATATGGCAACTGCTTTCGATGTGAGAAGTGTCCGATAATCTCCAGTGGCTCCTGGAGCTTCTAGTATGTCAATACCAAGGGACATACCAAGTCCGGCTATAATCTTTGTTGGTGCTACCATACACGGCCACAAGCCGTGCTTCTCTTGAAAAGGAGGAACCTTTAACAGATACGTACATGGAGCAATCAGATTCATTTAAAGCATTTGTAAGGGGGCAAATAAACTAATGAAACACAGACCTCGATTCGAATGCCACAGCCTCGTAGAAGGACAAGATTGGCGATATTCTTGCCTTGTGCAGCTCTCTTTGCATTAACCGGGTGGGAAACAAGAATGCGAGATATCTCCCTGGATAATTCGTTAACGACTTTAGCTGTGTGTTTGGCTTCATCTGATTCATCCAAAGGTTTAGCTTCAAGAAGCAAACGATTATCCTTCAATGGGTCTGTTCCAGATATATTCCCACTAAGTCTTGGCCCTTTCACAACCACGCCACATCTGTGTTCCGTTGCATATCTGTAGAGAGAGAAAAAAACTCGCTTTAGCCAAAACCCAAACCCAAATATCTAATCAAAAAGAGTTCAAAATTAATCTTGTGCACCTGACCCTCACTTCATACTCAGGGAAAGATGGAAGCTTCATTCCATCAAGAGCTGCACAAAGTATTGGCCCTTCTTCTTCGAAATGCCGATCAGCTCTCCTACTAACAACGATTCCAGATTTCTCATCCAAAGTCGCAAAATTAGACTGCACGATGAAAACCTTCACAATGTCAAACCTATAGATTGACAAAAGAATCTTGCAAGAGAAAATATGATGGAAGAAAGATTCAACCACACCTTGAAAGCTATATCACCTGGTGACATTGCTAATCCTGCACCCATGGACTCAAAGGCGCCACGTCCTCTGTAATACACTCTCGGGTCATAACCCATCAGAGAGAGGTGAGCCGTGTCACTACCGCATCCCAATCCAACTTCCACTGGATCCATTAGACCATTGATTCCAGCGGATGCAATTGCGTCCAGATTAGGTATGTTTGCTGCTTGTAGAGGAGTTTTATTGCCTAATTTTGGTATTGATACGTCCCCTAAACCATCGATCAGCACAAATGCAACTCTTTTTTTGACTTCTCGATCGCTTTCTTCCATTGTTGGTACCTTCTCCACAAGTAATTTCTCTTCTAATAGGGAATCTAGAAACGAAAAAAGCAAGAGAAGCTTGATTTTGAGAATTTAAGATCACAAAGGCTCAATTTTTAAGAATTCAACATCACAAAGACTTGATTTTTTTTCTACAATTTCTCAAATCATCAGGCACAGATGAAACTAAGGTTTAGCGACAGGAATTAACCAAAACGAGGAAACAAATTCAATGGAGAGTAAAGTATTGCATGAACCGAAACTTATTTACCTGAGAGAGAGAACACTGATCTTCAAAGAATGTGATTCCCTAGCATCATGACTTGTGTTTTCAGATTGCTTTTTGGCTTTTCTTAAGAATCTTTATAAATGAGAAGGAAACAAATAAAGGATTTAATGTTTCACCCAAACCGGACTGGAAAAAAAATCAACCGGTTCAGATTGAACAAGACGTGGCGACTAGGCCTTTAATAATATGGACAGAAGATGGGCCACAACCAACTATAAGCTTATTAATCAAATAATTTAGCTTAAGCCCATTATGTATTTTTGGCCACTAAGATAAATAGCTTTCTATAATTGTTGTTTATATAGTTTTTTTTATTCAGGATATCCTCATTAAACTGTGAAATGTTTTGATAAAATGGTTTAAGATCCAAATCTAACTTTCCACTAATTTAAAAATCTTACGAATTTTTGTTCATTTTTAATCAAGTGGCATTTGATTTTGGCTTAGAGGTTCTTTCTAAGAACAAGGTTGTGTTTCCTAAGATTCAAATCCATTTGGGAAGGATTTAAGTAAAATTTAAATTTCTACGGGGAGATGTGTGAGTATTAGCTCAAAACTCCTTGATCTAAAATGAAATAAAAATAAAAATTGTTCAATTTATCATAAGATTCAACACTCTAACAAAAGTCGATCTAAAATGCTATTTAAAAACAAAAAAAAACTGTTCAATCTATCGTATAATCCAACACTCTAATAAAGTCGAAAGCACGTCCACTTATAATTAGGTTTTATGATGTCGATAACAGATACTCGTATTGCTTAATTATACTATTAACTTTGGGGTGTGAAGGCAGAAACAGAATTTTTTTTTTTTTTTTTTTTTCAGTCAAACCGACGCATAAATGATGACTAGATTCATGACAATCTCGCTTTGCTTGTTTCTTACAATATCCTCGCGTGTTATTTACAATAAAGTGCTCAAGTTGCACCACTTACTCTCCACTAAACATCAGTTGACCTATTGGCTAAACAAACATTTGTATATCTTTCCAAATAATTTGGCCGGCATTTTTATTTAGAAGGATAGTTATGTTTCTGTTTTGCTTGTTAGTACATATATTGGTATTGTGATGTCTACGTTTATATTCTGTCGGCAAATATGAGGTTAACCATGCATCGTGCACAGTGAAAGTAAATTGATAGACCTATATATATCATCCTTTTTGTCAAATATGAGGTTAACCATCAAACAGTAAACTATATGACTTATCGCAATATTTTTCTGCTCATCCTTTTTATGTTCTGTTCCCCCAACTTCCAATCCACACAAAATGTGGAACATGGAACAAGAACCCTCTAATATTCCACTTAAATATGAAAAAAATGCTTAGTTATCGCCTAATTCTATCTGGGAGACTTGTTTCTTCCATCTTCGACATGGTGTCTATAACATACATGTTCCACATGGGACTAAGACACGGACACGAACTCTCTAATCTTCATTTCGAAACTATCTCCCCAGTTTTAATTTAAGAAATCACGTATTTGTTCTTAATTTTTGCATCAAAGTTTTGTGTTAAGTATCAGAAATTTTGATCCTGAGTTTGTGTTAAATGCAGAAGTCTGATCACGCAGTGCAATCTCAAGTTCGCTATTCATAGAAATAAAAAGTAATTAATTAATCTGAAAGACTACATTAAATTAGCTGGATTTTAAAACAGTTTCACCAAGGTCTATAAGTGAAAATTATGATCTTTAGGTATTTCAAATGTTTAGGCGCTATTTGATCAAAAACACGTATAGGATTGCTTATAGTATAATTTCATCTATGTGACTTTATAATTACTTTTTAAATCAAGTATAGAAGTATTCAACTAATCATGCATTATTCATGCTACTTCACGGCATCTAACTGTATTTTCATTATATAGATTTTCTAACACAGAAGTATATTCTAACTAAGCCATAGAATACATGTATATTTTGAATTTGAAATATAGTTTTCAACTTTTCAATAATGAAAGTGATATGTGGAATGTATACATCTACATGTATATATGTGTGTGTCTGTATATCAGTTTAATAATTTGGGTGGTTTCCAACATTGTTGGCATCGACTCATTGTTGACTCATCACGATTAAATTAATTTGGCAGCTCATGGGCTGTCTCTTTCATTATTCTAAAAACCTTTGGCTTGTGGGTTTCGAAAGGACTCAACTTGTTGCCTTCACTATCCCATATGAAGTATAAAAGTACTACATATATGTTCACACTAGGTCCCTAGCTAGTCCCCACGAAAAATGCATATGATATAACTGCAAATTGGTTAAAGGATGGTTGTTCAAGGAATAATAAGACTACCTAGCTGTTAAAAATGCACGCGCTCTCCAATTTTTTTTCTTTTCGTGTGATAAATTCTGGATTTGCGTTTTCCTATTTGTATACATATTCGCATATTTAGTATAGTCTACATTTTTTTTTTCTAGTTCCATTTTGAACCCTCGACTGACGGACGAGGTGAAGGCGTGAAGCTACGGGACAATAATAATGATTCGATGAATAAGACACAAAGCCAAATCGTAAACTTTTATAGTATCATAGGTCCAGGACACTGACATAGAATCCGACAGACGGGCACTATCCTATTAGTTTTTTTTCTTTTGTTTACTTAAAATTATACTCCTTTTAGTTATTAGCCTTTGATTTAATAACGGAAACAGAAAATTATTTTCGAACTGTACGATAATAGTTTTATAAACATGCGGAAAGGACTTTCATACTTTCGTTAGTTAAAGATTTATATTGTGTACAATGCCAAGAAGAATAGCTTTCTTTCCGGCTCTAACAGTACATCAGTGAACCTTTAATGGAAGAGTTCACCAGAATATAATAATATTTTTTTTTTAGTTTTTTTTTTAATTTAAAAATTATTTTTTTTGACCAATCAGGATGCTCCATTTCAAGATGATACCGTCTCTTCAGATTTATCGGGATGATACTATCTCTTCAGTATTAAGCTCTTTTGTCTCAAAAACTGTGCCATGAACTTCTCTTGATCCTCTGATGTACATACTCTAAATACTATTTATTATACCAATAAATAACCCAAGAAATCTGCAGTAATGCATAATGTTGTCATATTTAGACATCAACTTAGTTTTATTTTATTTTAACAGTATCATCAATGTCATTTAACATCAATCACAAAAGAATTACTTTATTAAAAGATTCAAAGTATAGTAACTCCCCTTCATATTTCATTATTGTTTTCAGAAATGAAAAAAAAAAAACGAATATTGCATGGGAGGTTGGGTTGGACCAATGAAAATGGCGGCTACAGCTGGTAACTCTCGTGTCCAATGCTCACCTAACGTCTTTACTTCCTCACGTGACCCTCTCACCTTACCTCAATTAAACGGTTCAAATTACATCAATATAAATTAATTAAACATTTTATATTTTATTTATATTTATCATTTGCCAAAACTTGGTAGCACTGCCATTTTTGGGTGACGAAATAGGTCCCACTCTTTTGCTTTATTTTCTTTTGTTTTTGTAAAGATCTGCATCTGTCAAAGATTCCTGTAATGTACGAAAAGGTGTGACATCAATTCAATTCGTATCTTATTTTAGCTTTGGTTGGTTCGTCTTCACTATTGCGTCAAGTGGTTTGGGTTGGAATAAGTTTATAAGTAAGCGATCAATTAGAAATAAAAAATTCTCATATTTTGAAGTGCCACTAGCTATTTGCATGTCTAAAAAAAACTAGTCTATTTCTAAAATAACCAAAATTACAGTAAAATTAGCAAACAAAAATGGTTAAAAACTGTAAAAACATGTATTTCAGTCAAACAACATGAAATTATGTAAAATATATCGGGTTATATTTTCTTGAAAAAAATATTGTGTAAAATAAATTTGTGTTTACCATAAATAAACGTATTCATTTACAATATTATATTAGTTGTTTTGGAATAAAATAATTCTATAAGTTACTATCTAGTGCATGATTATAAACAGAAGAAAAAACTAGATGGTGGTGAAGTAAAACCTATTTCAATTTCACTTTCAATTCTATTTTTAGCTATTTACTTTTATTAGGAGAGAATCTTTTGCTGATTAATTCAAAATAGTGATCGTTAAGATTCCGGAGATTCCAATTTAGAAAAGTCAAAGATTCAAAGAACAAGTCCAGGTCCTCATGTTGTATCCGATTCATCATCCACTCATCCTTCATATCCTCCAGACCTCCACCGTCTCGCCAGAAAACAATTTTTTAATTTTAAAATTTCTATTTTCAATTTGAAATAATAAAGTCTATCATATTATTATCCGATGACTCATCCTATAGTCAGGTCCTTGCTGTCTCTGACGTCCGTAATTATTATTTCTTGTCAAATTACAAATATGTTCTCTCAGAAAATTACGGCGTAATCTTCCCTCTAACCTTTTTATTTTTTGAAAAAACAAATATTATTATAGAACAGCTAATTTTTGTGGTCCAAAATAAATGACGAAGCCTCTAGATTCTATAATTGAATTCAACTTAATTTTGGATTCCGTTCCTCATTTACTCATTTTTAGGTAGAGATACACTACAACGAGTCTACGGAGTAGCTGTTAATTACTTATTAGAACTCCTGGGAATGTCATTATGTCAATTTGTCAGTCAAGAGTTTAAGTAGAAATCGTTGGGCTTGTTTGCTTCATTATTTGGCTAGAAAGCAGTAGTAACACGGAATACATGATCAGATCATCAAATATTAATTACTTAACTATTTTCAGATTCTTCATTAAAGTTCAACATGATTAGAAAGACTTTTTAACAAAAAAATGATTAGAAAGACTTATAAATTAAATTAAGAAATCTTCATATTCGTGTTGAAAAAAAAAACTGAAAAGGTCTCAATTCATTATACGATACCATACCATACTGGCTTGGAAAAATAACCATAAATGTATTCTAAGATTCCCTCCCAATATATGGTAACATATATGTTTGAATTGAAATGAAAGTAAATCTTGATTTTTTAGCAAGAAAAAACTTTAGAACTTTGACTTTCTTTGTAAAGAGATTCCGTTGCAATTTTAGATGATTAATTTTATCTCAATCCGATTAAGAATTGTACACATTGGCATCTATATATATCAAACACGTAAAACGTGTATGTATATGCATATGGTTTTATGGTCTTCTATATATATATGTGGGAGTAAGACGAGAAAAAATCACACAACAAAGTTGAGAAAAAAAAAGGAAGAGAAGAGAGGAGAGGAGAAAAAAACAGCGATAAAACCGAAAAGCCTAAGAAACATCAAAAGAGAAGAAGAAAAAAAATTTCAATTTTTTTGTTTCACAAAGGAAAATCTTTCAATTTTATGGCAACCCGTCTCCTCCGAACAAACTTTATCCGGCGTCCTTACCGTTTCTCCGCTTTAACTCCGGTGGGTCCCCCCACCGTAACGGCTTCAACCGCCGTCGTCCCTGAGATTCTCTCCTTCGGACAACAAGCGCCGGAGCCACCTCTCCACCACCCAAAACCAAACGAAGCTCACCATGACATCGATCTCTCCGATCAAGCCCGTCTCTTTGCCTCCGTGCCCACCTCCGATCTCCTCCGCTCAACCGCCGTTTTGCATGCGGCGGCGATAGGCCCTATGGTGGATCTTGGATCGTGGGTCATGAGCTCTAAACTCATGGACACCGCCGTGACACGTGGCATGGTTCTTGGGCTTGTGAAAGGTACGTTTTATGACCATTTTTGCGCCGGTGAAGACGCAGACGCAGCCGCTGAACGTGTGAGGAGCGTTTACGAGGCTACGGGTCTTAAAGGGATGCTTGTCTATGGCGTCGAACACGCCGATGATGCTCCTTCTTGCGATGATAACATGCAACAATTCCTTCGAACCATCGAAGCTGCCAAATCCTTACCAACATCTCATGTAAGCAATCTAATCTCCAAATTTCCTCATTTTTGTCTATTCCTCTGTTTCTTTTCAAAGATTCTCTGTTTTTAATTTTGTCAACCCACAATTGAAAGTTACATATCTGGACTGCTTCCCAAATGGCTGGCAAAAAGTTTGCATATGTTTCAGATATGTTCCTACCTAGCAACCAAATGATCAGCTAACATTCTCCTCTGTTTTTCCTCTTTGCTCTGTTTTTCTTCTTTGCTCTGTTTATCCAATTCTTTTTTTTTTCTGAAATTGTTATACATTCCTTGAAAAAAAAACATTTTTTTAATCGTATCAGAACAGACAAAAGGAAGATCTGTCATACCGTATTTTGAATTTAATTATTCATAACCATTTTCTTAAACAAATGATTTGTTAATGGAGACGTAATTATCAAAATTTAGGCAAGTTGGTTCGACAGCCAAATCTCCGTACCCTGACAAAGTACACTTGCATAGATACAAATGCACATTTATATTATATCTATCTTTTTCATACATGAATTAATAAATTGGTTAAATTAGTCTAACGCGTTTCAACTTGCTAATTTTTTTCTCTTATGAAAACGACTTATTTGCGTCTAATTTATTCATTTTAAAAGTAATTTCGTCTGATGTTATTTATTTTATAACTTTTGAATTTTATTTAATGCGGTGAAAAAATCAGAGCAATAAGTCACTATCGGATTAAATTGATACGTACGAGTTCTAGTTGGCAATTTGACCTTGTAGGTGGACTAGAACTTTCGGAAGAAGACTAGTAACTTACACTTTAGGAATATTCTCCTTTTACCAAGATTCCGGTCTATTTTTGTGAAGACCCGGCTAGTTCCGGTTTACCTTTGGTTTTATAATAACCCGTTAATTTTCTCTTTGTCCTAAACAGTTCAGCTCAGTGGTCGTGAAGATAACCGCGATTTGTCCGATTAGTCTTCTGAAACGAGTGAGCGATTTGCTTCGATGGGAATACAAGAGTCCGAATTTCAAACTCTCATGGAAGCTCAAATCCTTCCCGGTTTTCTCCGATTCGAGTCCTCTCTACCACACAAACGCAGAACCGGAACCGTTAACCGCCGAGGAAGAACGTGAGCTCGAAGCAGCCCACGGAAGAATCCAAGAAATCTGCAGGAAATGTCAAGAATCCAATGTACCTTTGCTAATCGATGCAGAAGACACAATCCTCCAACCAGCGATTGATTACATGGCTTATTCATCGGCGATCATGTTCAACGCGGACAAAGATAGACCAATCGTTTACAACACGATTCAGGCCTACTTGAGAGACGCGGGTGAGAGATTGCATTTGGCTGTGCAAGAAGCTGAGAAAGAGAATGTTCCTATGGGGTTTAAGTTGGTGAGAGGTGCTTATATGTCGAGCGAAGCTAGATTGGCAGATTCCTTGGGTTTCAAGTCACCGGTCCACGACACGATTCAGGACACGCATGCTTGTTACAACAACTGCATGACCTTCCTGATGGAGAAAGCATCTAACGGGTCTGGTTTTGGTGTCGTTCTTGCAACACACAATGCTGATTCGGGTAAGCCCACTGAGTCACATTCTAAAATGCGGGTTTAAAGGTCCTTTCTTTTGGAGTGAAATGGATTGCTGATAGCAGAAATGTTTTAAATTTTCAGGAAGACTTGCGTCAAAGAAGGCGAGTGATCTCGGGATCGATAAACAGAATGGGAAGATAGAGTTTGCGCAGCTATACGGTATGTCAGATGCATTGTCCTTCGGTTTAAAGAGAGCCGGGTTCAATGTTAGCAAGTACATGCCATTTGGACCGGTCGAAACTGCTATACCGTATCTTCTCCGACGTGCTTATGAGAACCGGGGAATGATGGCTACCGGAGCCAATGACCGTCAACTCATGAGGTAATTAAACTTCCCTATTTTAATTATATAGTCCGGTTTAACATTGATTTTGGATTTTGCTGAACAATGTTGGTATTGGTTATTGCAGGATGGAACTTAAGAGGAGATTAATCGCCGGAATTGCGTGAAGAGAGGAGTTTAATTGTACTTATGTATGGAGCCATTAAATGGAATTGGGAAATGTAGATCAATAAATTTCTTCTATGTAGATTAAGAAATTGATGAACAAAAAAAAAGTTATAATATAAGAAATGGAGTAGGTGAGAACATTTCATGTGGCTTTGTAGTATAACGGGCTATATATATTTAATTTAATCGATAAATATTATTCACCAATGTATATTATTCATCCTTCCTTACCAATAATAATGGAATTACTTTTTTTATTTACTTGATTCGGTCTTTTTTTCTTTTTGCCGCGTAAATAATTCTATTTATGAGAGTTCAAACACCTGTCCAACGTGCGTGTCATCGTTTCTCTCTAATTGAGAATGTGTTCTTCTGAACAAATTTTTTTTTTCGTTTACCAAAAAATTCCATGAAGAACAAGAAACCAACCTTAGTGGAAACGAAACCAATAAATTTCTTATTTAGTTGGAAATGTTTTAAATCTGATAGCAGAAATGTTTCATAGTCTACATACCAAGTCTTTAAGATAGTCTAGAAGAAGTTTGATGGAAACGAAACCAATATTTTTCATTAGTAGAAGTATTTACAGATTAAAAAAATTACACAAACGGTAATTAGAAATGGCAACATATGGACATGTTTCTTCCAGTCTTATTGTCCATTGCATAACAATCTAAACAAATTCGCTAATCTTTTAACAGTATCCGTAAAATCTAAACCGAGTTTCATTGACAAATAATAGGATATGAAGTCAGTTTTCTGATATGACCAAAGCTAATGCTGTGATATGTAGGCTCAGTTTTATTGGGGGTTAAAATGTGTGGGCTCAAGTTGGGGTCAAATAAAAAGTGGACTATCTCCATTTTTAGTTAAGCCTTTATTAGTTAGCAAAAAAAAAACAAGTTAAGCCTTTATGATTTCATGTAACATATCATTTGTATTTTTGAGATATACGTTCACAATTGTCGTGTCTCGTAAAGATTAGTAAAAATTAATGACAGATTAGTGTCGGCTGCTGGCAACGGAGTAGCGAAAATAGGTTTAAATACGATTTATATGGTTTAAATTGTATAAGCTGTTATAAAACACACATGGGTTTTTTTATAGCATCGTAGTTTTCTCATTTCTGTATAGATATTTAACTTATTAATTATTAGGAGGGTTTCACATTCAATTATATAATTATATTATTAGGTGTTGCCCGACAGTTGAATATATTCGCAACATGTTATTTTTACGTGGACATCTAATTCATCAAACGAACTTTTATTTTCGTCATATGAGCAAATGATCTGTTATTAGCATGTTTATATTAGTATATTATATATGAGAATTTAAAATGAGAGTGTTGGTTAATTGAATATAATAAATTCCAAATTATATCGTAAATTTTGTCGGTGTCCATTTTATTGTTGGATAATAACGAGTAAGGAATTGTATTCGTTAACATATTTTGCTCGTATTATTTAACAAATCAACTTAATTCATAATGTAACGAAAGTAGAATCTTTTACTTATGTGTATACCCAATTAAAAACAGTTTAGTGACCAACACCAAGAATACATACGTAATTAACTATAGACACCTATCTGCATAAGCAGCATAATTAAAGTGCACAGGAGAAAAGAATGGCGATCACTTGAGAGACCCCACAGTGCAAAAGTATTGAATTCCACTTTGGACCGTCCAATTCTTTGCGTTTTCAGGCCGCGGCGTCCACCAATAGCCGCCAATCAATGTGAAAGTTATCAAATGCATTATTTACTAGTATTCTTTAGCCGATACTTTTAAACATGATTCTACTAGTTTGCTAATGACGTTTCTGTGTTAATATCCAAATATGAACTCTTGTTGTTGATAAAAACAATTAGCCGGTAGTGTTATTATTAAGAAGTGTTGTTGATGAATAAAATTGTGGGAGGACTAAAATAGACTCATCAAAGAAAATTGACACCGTATTAATTATAAGTTATTTGCAGTTTCCGAGCCCAAAGTATGCTCGTCTATGTAGTAGCAAAGATCCGAAAACCATTTAAAACATAAAAATCAAATTCGTTTGACATGATATAATATATATATATATATAATTATATATATACTATAGTTCTAACATCGTATTAAAAGAGAGAGAGAATTCATAATCTGTTCGGAATATATGCTGATATTCGATAGATAGATAGATAGCTGTATATATAAACTCCAAGATTAAAACTTAACAAATAAAAGCATTAAACAAAACTTAATTTATACTAGTACCCACCAAAAAACTGTCGACTATTACAAAATTGCCGATGATTATTGCAAAAGTTGAAAATCTCTTATTCTTTTTCTTTGCTAAAAAAGAAAAAGATGTTAAAGGTTAGGTTGGGACGACGGTAACATTGCCGCAGTTACAAGGATATATGGAAGACGGAGGAGGAATCACCGGAACGGCCAAGCAACTAGGTCTATCGTCTCCGGCCAAAATCACAACGATCTTAGGTGAGTACTCTGCCATAGTTATCTTAGCTTCCATGTCTCCGGCGTCGTCGTCTTCCTCGATAGGATCGTTGTTGTTAGAAGAAGAAGAAGGAGATTTTTTGTGTGTGCAGACCAATGAGAGTAATGCCAAAGCTATAAGCAAAAGAAGCAAAGACAGACCACCAAAGAGATATGGTATTGGTGACTTCCAAATTTCTACTTTTGTTGTCGTCGTCCTCATTTTTCTTTCTTTTTGATGACTGCTTTGTGTTGTAAGTGCAACTATGAAAGTTTTAGTTTTGGTTATCAAAGAATTTATAGAGGAAAAGTTGTACGAAATCACTATTTTTTTTTTTTTTTTTTGAATACGGGGATGCATTTGATCACACTACGAGATTGTTTTTCTTTTTAAAAGTTGAAGATGAAGGAAGAAGATTCCTTGTGCGTTCAGATATTCCTTTTCTCTTTTGTTAACTATATATTTACTTTAACTGTTCAAATGTCATATCGATGTCGTCATCCCAGTAACTTCACTTCTTCTTACATATTTTTCAGATTCTCATAAATTGAAACACAGTACAATACATGCAAAAAGTTAATATTTTCTTTCTTTTTTTCCTTGTCAACAATTTGTTTGCTAATGATAGACAATAGGAGAGTCGCTAGATAACAATTAGGCTTTCTTTTTTGTTTGGATTCAGGATTAGGCTTATCCAGTGGAGGGACTGAAGCTCCTCCGATACAATAAATATAGTTATAGCATCATAGGTAAAAAAAAGTTAATATCCGAAGTCCCTAATACCACCTCTTGTTTGAGTAATAGAAATATCGTTTGATGTAAAAAAAAAAGTAGTAGTGAATTATTTGAAATATGTGAGATTAATCGTCTTGATTAATAAATATAAATTCACAGCACTTCCTATCATCATTTACTGCTTATGATAGTGTATTTTTTTTGTTTGTTGTTGTTTGACAGAACCTATAATACTATATATATATATTGCTCATCTAAGGTTGATTCAGGCATGTACTAAAACTGTTTTTGCCTTTTTGGTGAAAATAAAAGACATATTAAAAAGTGAATAATAAATGCTTTGGGTAGTTGACCAAAGTTTTTTTTTTTTGACCAAGTCGTTGACCGAAGTTGTAAGCTTCTGATCAGACGAAATACAAATGTTTATTCATTACAAAATAATAATGTATATATATATATATATGCATCGTGTGAAAAACTGTGAAAATTTGTATATCCTTAATTTCCAGCAAAGATATGTATGTATATAGTATTCGCGTTCAAATGTTAATTCGAAGAGTATTTAGTGTTGTCTTCTTTCCTTTCACCAAATGACAAAGGATTGACGATTTATTATCAGATATTAAACTTCGTTGTCAAATAACTCTAATTAAGGCTGTTTAGTGTAATTTTCTTTACTGCTAGTTAACACATTGTCGATTTAGTTTTACATATGTGCGATGTTAAATTGGTTAGAATGTGGAAATTATAAAAAAAATTTATGATTCAAAACTGAAACTGTCCTTAACAGTGCATGGCGTTGTACACCTACATGTTTAAAATACTAATCAATAATCATGTACTTATATTATTTCCTAGGGAGGCTGGGGACACTTTGAGTTCGATTTGAAAGGCCAGGCCGACAATAAATAACATACTAAAGTAAAAAAATTTGATATCCAAATCATTATAATTTTGACAGAAGATGAAAATATCGGAATTAGTCAATTTCCATCAACTTCAAGTACCCCAGAATGAGTAAACAAGTCTAAACATAATAAAATAAAAATAGATGAGACATCCATTCTATTATTATAAGAATAAATATAAGGTAATGACGACTACAAGTTCACATTCAAACCCAAAAAAGTTCTCATTGTCTACCACCAATTAAAGGTGACAGAGAAGTGCATTGCACTTTTTCTACTATTTGGGCAAATTAAAATAGCTCCCCCACTTGGATCTGATTGCAAGTAGGATTAATCAGTGCGATAGTATATGCAGACACTCAACAAAATCCATCTTCGCATCATGACGTATGAAGAAATCACGAAAACTTAAATTAAATGCGCTGATTAGGATTTTAACTATCTTTCTCGCTATCTCAATTGGTAATTGCAACGAATGGAACTGACAACTGGTACAACTTTTCTATAATGAGAATTTTTCCAATATGTTTCTCCACTCAAATATTTATGTTTCTTTCAACTTCTATAGTATGATATGGCGTGTCTCATGTTTTTTCCATATATAATCTTTTTTTTCCATATATAATCAAATTTTCTACAGTAGGCATCTCTTCAACTCTGTCTTTTTCAAATTGAGGTGATTAGCGAAGCTGATAAGTGCCACAGCTAGAATTGGATTAATCATAATTACATGTTTCTCAAAGATAATGCTTAATTCAAGATTTTGCATTATTAATTTCCTTAACAAAAAAAAACATTCTGCATTATTTGTATTTTTAGTTCAAGCTTATCTTATATAACCCATTTGTTTTAACGTTCTCTTTTTATTTCATAATCGCTTTGTGCTGTTGCTTATCACGTATTCACACTACTGGGCTAGCTAATATTACTTGGGCCTAATTGGTGTCAGTTAGGTTTTATTTATTATCCTACGATGTCTACTCCCGCATATATGTAAACCAAACCGAACCGAGTACTGAAGTTATTTCTATTGCTACCGATCGTTTCAACTTGTTAACCAAATCTAAACCGAAGTAGCCAAACTTCGGTTCGGTTCAGTTTGGCCAATAATTCTGTCCAGGCATAGGTATATATACTCTGCTTGTTTTGAAAAAGACATAGGTATATATACTCTGCTTGTTTAGAAAAAAATAATATACTGTATATACTTTTTTGGGGGGTGTAAATTCCAGTAGATCTGATAGGTATATATCGCCTAACCGTACAACACGTTCTCTTGGGTCCATTAGAAGTCAGTTTTTCCATTACTTAGAGAGAATATAATCAGATTTTCCGTTAATTTTTTTGACTTCAAGTCCGTCTAGTAGTCATGTTGAGTGGGACAAATAAAAGCTTTCTTTGACTTTGATCCTGTGGTTATAAAAATCAAGCTTTGATCTTTAACACGGTAACTCACTAAATTCTCTATGTTGAAACGACCACTCGTGTGTGTTGACTCGATCAAAGAAACTGAAACGTAAAGAATACCCACACGATTTAATATGAGCTCATGCACCTTCGGCAGAATTCCAAGTCAGAGTTTCCTGGAACACAGTTTTCCTCTTGAATTTTTCCCCAATTAACATTAATTTGGGCCTCTGCTGCAACCGATAATTACTGAGCTTTAAGAATATATATATATATATATATATATATGTATATCTTTAAAATTGGCTAGTGTAAAACATTGGTAAACACTTTTGCTCCAGTTAAATGAATGCAATGAAATATTCAAAAAGAAGAAAAACATTAATATAAGACCAACTGAAGAAATTGAATTCCCGTTAAAAATTAGTTTAAAGTTCCAATTCCATGAAAACTAAATAAAAAAATCTTATAAATATTTTTCCTTATTATTAATAGGAAGATGCATTTTATATTAGAATAAAATCTATAATGATATATATTTCAATCACTCTCAGCGATTTTTAAAAAGAAATGTACAAAAACAAAAAAATTATTTTTATGTTCTGTTAGTCTATATGGCACAGTAATACGTTTCAGGCTTATATGATACGAAATAATTTATATTTGTTCCAAATTCATCTATAATTGGTTACAATACGAATCTGATGAGAAAAGGAAGAGGATAATAAAAAGGGGCATGATCCTGACATGTTCTATAACATGGCTTAATTGATTTGAATCAAACATCCAATCTCCACAAAGATGCATGCGTGTTTGGTTTCGTTACAGAGAATTCTTTGTGTAAAGATACATTCCCCTCATGCCACAATGTGAACTTAAACCACTTCGCTCTCTAACCAAAACCCATTAATTATATTATTTAGCGTTTATTATTCAACATGCTCACACTATTAAGAGAGGACTAAGACTACACATAAATCATAACTTATAAAAAGACAAAACCTTTTTCCATAAAAAACAGCTATTCTTCTTCGAATCATGTCGGATATAACTTTATACGTTAGACATAAGCTGTCCTTAGCACATTAAACTAATGAAAACACACGGGTTTTCTCACGCACATGCAATTACATATTCCTACTTATATATATATGGTCCACTACACAAGCAAAACACTACGGCTAAACTAAGCAAAAATTAAATTCTCTCTCTGTCTCTCACTCTATCCCTCCCGGATCCCTCTCTCTCTTTCTCTCTCTCTCTTTCTAACTAGGGTTCTTGAGTTATCAATGGAGAGAGAAGAATGCTGCAGCAGTGAATCCGGTTGGACCACGTATATTTCTTCGCCTATGGAAGAAGACGAGGAAGAGGTAATTGATGAGGTCTATTATGAAGGGCATGACATCGATAAGGATCGAAGAAAATATGCAAACGAATACGAAAACAACAAAGACAGCGACGACTCAATGGCTTCCGATGCTTCTTCCGGGCCAAGTTATCCCCAAACGAGCAATAGAGGAAGACGGAGAGAAGGTATCATTTTAAGGAACAGGGAGAGTGAGAATAATAGTAAGAGTAATGGGGTTTATGATCATAAACATGATGATAAGAATAGTGGTAATCATAAATGTAGGACAAAAGAGAAGAAAAAGGGTGACTACAAGAGTAGGTCTTATAAAAAGAAGTAATTTCTTTTCTTGAAGTTGTTTGTATATTGGGATTGGATTCCTCTTTTTTTTTGGTTGGGGTTTTTTGATGCCTCAAGCAAAGGGTGTTTGATTGTTTTTTTCATTACTTATTTTTTGTTTTTTTTTTTCAACATGAAGATTTAAATTTGATATTTTATTCTCTTATGCCGCTACTGATTATTATTTCTCTTTTACCTTTAATTATAATCCAATACGATTATTATTTCTTTCACGATAATCTTAGCTACATGCATCTTTCGGTGATGGTTGTTGGTATACTAAAATTATATTTACATGAAAACTAAATTTAAGTTACGTTGGACGTCAGTTTCTTACGACACATGTTCTCTTCATGGGGAGAGAGATTCAAGGAGAAAAGAGGCATTTTTAAATGTAAAACCTTTCAAACAGATTCCGTACATGAACTACTTTCCAATAAAAATATATTTTATATAGTCTTATAATATGTTCGAGTTCAAACACAATACTGCGCTTGGAAATGTTTTATTATATTTGAAAAAAGTTATATATGGGTTGTTTTTTAAAAGAGTTATATATGGATAGGCCTGGAATTTTGCGGTTACAAAAAAAGAATTACTATTGAAATGCTGTCATGAATCAAAATGGTGTAAATGAAAGTAGCTATATATATAGAAAAGCATGTGTGATGAAACGTGTCCTTCGAGACAACTTCTCCATTATTGATCATATTGTGGCTTTCTATGTGTGTTTGATCAAATTGTCTTAAATATTTATGATGAAAAAATGTTTTGTTGGTTTGTTTGTTTTGGCTGTAAAGAGGGAAATGGATCCACCGCAGACACATGACAGCAACATGGGAACTCTTCCACAGAAAATTATTAGTTTTTGTTTTCAACTTTCACAGTTCTTTTTGGGTTTTTTGCTTATCTGCTAGAAAGAATGTAAATTGGAATATTTATCCCATCTAACATGCAACAGATATTTTTTTTTTTGTACAAAGACAAACTTTAAGTAATTTATGTATGCATCCAGAGAAGTTTAGATATGCACCTTTAAGGCTTTATCCCATATGGGGATGTAACATTCTTGTTTAGGTTTTTTCTAAGTATATTTTGAGGAAGTGAACTATCAATTATATTGATAAAACAAAAGGAACTATGGAATATGTAAGATCCAAAAACAGTACCTAATAATAGTTAATTATGTAACAAACCGTACAACTTAAACAAAATATAAATATAAATCCAAAGCGTAATAATTGAAAAAAAAAAACTGCATGCAAAATGCTAATCAGGAGTCTCCGGTGGTTTGGAATACATTTGATCCCAGGTGAAGGCAATACCGAAACACAACCACAAGTGCAGGCAACTAATGGTCACAAACTTTTTCGAGGAAGTTCTCAATGGGCCTAGTTCGTTTGGGATCTTAAAACCAAAACCGAAACACAACCCAAAGGTTTGGAAAAACTAGTCCATGGGCCTTCTGTCTATCCCATGAAAAAGCAAATAAGGAAGCGGAATGTCACGGTTTCCTTTGGCCTAGCCGGTTTACCGGGTCCAATTTCTCGAGTTAAAAAAGTCAAGTAAATGTATTATTGCAATTTGACCCCCCAAAAAAAAAATGTATTATTGCAATTTTTTAACGAAGCATTTTTTTTTTGACAGAATATATACCACCACATAATTCCCTTCCTGAAAGAAAGAACGTGAAATTTTTTTTCCTTTCCGCCTAGAAATGGGAGCAGTTCCATAAAAAAAATCTGATTTATATTTTTATCACGATATTATTCTCAATTGACTAATGATTTTTTGGTAAAATTAGGATAAGAAGGCTATGGCTACCAAAAGAGAGAGAGAGAGGGAAGGAGATGGCTTATTCTTCTACATATAATCGAATTTACTGTTCAAAGTGGTTATCAAACACTCCCTTTTTTTACGATTGTTATCAAACACTCTTTAACATTCACATGTTATGACGGAAAAACAAAAGATAAAAACTTTATTGTTTAAGAAATACAAATTTTCCAAAGAAAGAAAAACCAATTGTCGTACGAAACGAAAAAGAAAGAAAAGAAGGAAACTATCTTCTGGTCTCAGATACAGTCGTACTTTGTACACACACATTTATAGAAAGATATAGACAAAGATTGAGATTGGTTCTTGAAACAATACGTAAAGCGAAAGAAAAAACAAATTAAAAGCGTCAGAAAAGAAACTCCACTGTTGTTGGAAGATGAAAAGGAACTAAAGATTCTTAGAAAATTTTAGGACCAAAGTGACGTTATGACTTACCCCAAAAAAAAGAAGAAAAAATACATATAATCATATGGTGTGTGTTCGGATTCAGTAATTAACTGTATGTAGTTGTACTGAGACTAAGATTTTTATTTATACTTGCTGCGACAATGATTTACGACAACGATTAACATAACCAATTATAGTGATATGTTTTGTTCGTTTTGCAGTAGTCAATTAAATCCAACTCGATCAACTTTTCTTTATTTGGTAATACCGATATAAAATTCAGCGCCTACAACTAAAAAAATTAAACGCTAGAGAACTTGGCAAAATTTCAAATTAGGGATCAATCGATGAAATCTGTCGAAATAATTGAAGTATATTGATTAACGAATAATTCCTGAAATCTATGAGCGCAACTTGCGCAACTTGTTTCTGATCACTGACAATTGTGAAACAAACATGATTTAATCGCTTTCAGCAATTATAATATAAACATGACATAAGCTCTGTGTTTTTTCTTAATTTTCCTTCCAACTATGTTGGGTGATTTCCGTTTCGAAAAGTTGTCCCTATCTAAGAGTAACGTCGATAGCTCCTTAGCCTCGAGTGATATGTGTTCATGGCCCCGGATTCGAGTAGACTACAACGTAGAAAGATAGAGTGTTTACTTGGTTTAAAATGAAATATTTCGGTATTACCAAAGATTGGTTTTGATCTAGAGAGAATATGAACATAAGATATATACGATTTCATGGATGACAACAAGGAAAAAGAAGTTAAATTAAAGGTGACTCTATATCTTTCTTTATTGTCTCTTTTAGTCTTCCACTTAAATAACCTTCTGCGTGCTCGATCCCACGACGAGAGAAACAAAAAAGTTGAGAGATTGATTGATTCAAAAGAAGAAAAAAATATATAAACGACATGTTTTATGGGATTAGAGGTTTCTTGGCTAGTAAGGTTATGGCGAAGAATCTCACAAGACACGACACGAAAAATTTTAAGAAAAAATAAAACAAATAAAAGGTCGTTTGTTTTGTTGACCACATTTGTAAAAGGATCTCGTACGTAAGCTTGTTTCTTTGTCTGTCTGTGTCAATGAAAGATATCGGACAGGGCATGATGGGTTTGGGTTTAATTTATAATATATGAAATTCATTTCCAATTCCAATACCAATTCCAAAACGTTAATAAATGTCTTATAGCCGTCTCATGTAGATTTCGTTTGTGTGTTATAGTTTATATCAAAAGTGTACATTTGAAGTGAAATGTACGTGAACAGAGTGAACGCAGACACAATGATACCAAAATGTATTAACGTTTAAATTTTAGGTATTTCGACAGTAACACAAACTACGAGATTTATGCACTCATCGTCTTAATTAAGCTATGTTATAAGTTTGCGCCATCCATTTCAACGTTTAGCTTTCTGTAAAAGTATTTTTTTGGCATAAAACTAACATAACGGTTTCATTCATTGAAAATTTGCCATCTTAAATTTGTTTCACGGACACAGGAATAGAAAATGTTGCAACTTGCACCCGGATTCCTCGAGCAGCTGGATATGGCGTAGAATTCTTAAGCTGCGGCCATTAGCAAGGCCTTTTCTATGTTGCGAGGTTGGCTCGGGTGGGAATGCGCTATTCTGGCATGATAATTGGTCCGATTTAGGTCCGCTAATAGATATTTCAGGTGCTAACGGACCGCGGGTTACGGGTATTTCTCGGTTAGCCACGGTTTCTCAGGCGATTAGAGAGGGTGAATGGAGGTTGCCTCGTGGAAGACACCCTATTACTATGATGCTTAAGGAGGTTCTTCCTCATCCGCCGGTGTTGGTTTCTGGGATGGAGGATTGGTTCAGTTGGAGGAATTCAGCTACGAGCACACCGGGATTTTTTTCAGCGTCGAGAACTTGGACTTCTCTTCAGCCATCGGGTACTGTGGTCCCCTGGGTGAAGTCTGTTTGGTTCTCCAACAGTATTCCAAAGCATTCCTTTATTCACTGGGTGGTTATGAGAGATCGTCTTCCCACTAGAGATCGGTTGAGAAGATGGGGGCTTAATGTACCGCCTGATTGTCTTCTTTGTCAATCAGCCCCTGAATCGCGGGCTCATTTGTTTTTCGGATGCCCCTTTTCCAACCAGGTTTGGTCTTCCTTCTTCTATCATCCATCGCTCCATCCCCCAAGATGTCTTGATGATATCGTTGGTTGGGTTACAAACGCTTCTCCCCTCTTAAAGCTTAAGGTTATTTGTAAGATGTTGCTTCAAGCCTCCATTTATTTCGTTTGGAAAGAAAGGAATGCCCGGTTGCATACAGCCGTTACCAAGACTCCGGCTCAAATCATCCGGGATGTCCATTCGGTTTTGCGGCCCAGACTGGCGGGACTAGACAGATCAAACACCAGATCCGATCTTCTTGCGGCTCAACCGAATTATACCCTTTGCTCCTCCTATCTTTCTGTCTGGTTTGGGTTCATTCATTTTGGCAATTCTCCAGCGACGTAATATTCTAAATCATTATCTCCTCATTTTTTTTTGTTTTAATGGTCCTCTATGTTATATCTATCTCTCCTCCTGATCGCGTTATCTTAGATCTTTACAATTTCAGTTTTATCACTCTTGTTTATTGCTGAATCTATTCTATGTATCTCTGCTTGTAATGATGTCCCAGAAAAGGGCATTCAATGAAATGAAAAGGAAGTTTAAAAAAAATAAAATAAAATAAAATAAAATGTTGCAACTGAATCGAGAGAAATAAAAAATCCACTACTCAGTT